TGATGTGAAGTTTGGGTAATACAAAGTCAACAAAAGAGCTTTCAAAGTGTTTTTTGAGTATAGGACTCTCCAACTATTTGTAGCATTATCTTCAAATTCTCTCAACTCCTAACCATTTTAATAATTAAAAAATAATAATGAAATCGAAATGTTGACCTACTTCTCTTTATCACATCGTTATTCTATATTTTTATTATTAACAAAAAAAACTAGCATTGCAAAATAGAAAATTCATCGCTATGGAATTTAGGAGGTAACAAGAAAGTTGATTTTATTGAATTTCATAGTCATAGTAGGATTATATAACTTTATTATTTATAGGTACACGTAAATTCAATAGTTCTTTCCTTATAAAAGCTAAATAAATCTAGCTCTCCGAAGAGCTAGAACAAGTGAGAGGGCTATTAATTCGATTTTTTAACTAGTTGATACGTTCAAATAATAAAAAATAGTTATCTATTAAATTCTATTTAGATGTTGTTGAATGCATAGAATTAAATAGAATCTAATTATGTCGTAATAACTTGAATTCAAAAATGAAATAAAAAAGATACAAATCAGAAAACAAATATCACTAAACATTGTATATTTGTGTCACTAATATTAATTGTAAACTCAATTATTATTATTATAAATTAACTTAAAATTGTTTTAAAATTTGTAAATGGAAGGTGTTCACCCCCTGATCATCCTTCTCTTATCATTTGATTTCATTTATGTTTAAACTAGTACAACATTTAATAATGCACATAAAATTGAACCTCCCAAAATCTTGGGAATTTTATGTAGCAATTAATCTTCTTCTCTTACCAAGTCAAAGGCCTAAAGTCAAGTCTTTATATTTGAATCTACCATGTGTGTAAGTCAACACAATTAAAAAGGGTAAGTTACTAGTCAAGAAATCCCCCCATCCCTTCCCACCCCACCATCATTTTTAAAGTCAACTCTTATTTAAGGTTAGTTATATACGTTTATTTTTACTTATCATATCTAATTGGATTTAACATATTTATTGAGTAAGTAATGATTATAATAATTATTTTAACACATTATATAGTTGTGACGAAATTAAGATTTTTAATAAAGATCTAAAATTTAAAAAACTAGACACACAAACTAGCTTTTATGTATACATAGAAATTACTTTAACCATATATAATTAGTATAATTTTTCGTCCAAGAGGATTTAAATGACCCCCTAACCATGGTTGCCTACTTGACACTAACCCAAGTAGTAACTACTCTTAGGTTATAAAATGATTTAAGGAATAAGTAATTAATATCAAGGGTAAAATATTTAAAATATATCTATATCTTCCTGATATGTTAAAATTGATAAAATAAAAATAAAAATATATTTTTAAAATAATGATCAAATAAAAATAAACGGAGTAATATAATCACATTATGATACACAAATACTCTCTCCTCTAATCCTAAATAAATACTTTTCATATATACTTTGTGTTTTTTCCACTTTGAATTATTCCAAAGACAGGATTTAGGCTACAATGGAAAAAAATGTCAAGCTAGTCTAATACGTAGAAACAGTGAAAACCATACTATATTATTAGTTGATTGAATGTATGAAGGTTGGAATATATTTTGGAAGAAAAATTCTAGAATTGAACTAGGAAAGAAAACATTTTTAAAAGAAAAAAGAACAAAAAAACTTGTGTTTATATTTGTATTGAGCTTCAATTATATATGAATTCACGTCAGAAAATATCACATAGAAGTATAAAGATGACTTCATACTAATGCCTAAATAACACCTCAAATTAAGAGAGAAATACTTATCAGTATACTACAAGATGACATCGATCAGTCATACCGGAATTTTTAACCAGTATATGTTTATTATGCACTATTTTGATCAATATATAAGCGGTTATTTAAGGACATGTTTGGATTGATTTTTGACTTTTGGCTTATGACTTATGTCTTTTGACTTATTTTTATTTTAAAATAAGTGCTTATAAACACTTTTTAATTTTACCCAAATACTTCAAAACTGTTTAAAAGTTATTTTGGCTCAAAAACACATAAAATAAGTCAATCCAAACGGGCACTAAGTTAATTCTTCCGACAAGAAAAAGAAAAGGAAAGTCTCTAACCAAACGGGCAAGGCCCAAACAGATTGGTTTAGACTTTAGATGGGCCAATTTGGGCTTGATTAATTCATAGCGTGACGTTTCTTCCATGGACATTATCAAATTATGGGAAGTATTTATTCAAATCAATAATTTTATTCTTGAACTAATAGTACACATAATCGGGCTCTACTTTATACTTGATGGATAACAACCATCTACAATTTAAAAGGAAAATTACAAATATTTCTATCATATTTATTTTGTTTTTTTATAGTTTAAAATAATAACATTTATCTTACTGTTTAATAGTTGCATACATTTCAAGTTAGATATACCTAAATGTATATTTTTTGTTGCCAGTTATACTGAAATAGAGAGAGAGGTGATCGAGATTTGTCTATGTATCCCAGATACGCAAGCGAGATGAGACGGAGGAGAGAAAGACTTGTCCATATAAATCCGATACATGTCAATTTAATTGAATACCGTGTATCTAAAATGAATTACACCTAATTTGGACCTATGTATCGAGAGATTCATACACACCAAAATTTGATAAAATTGATAATATAGTAAACTAACACACATCTAACTAGTGGTGTGATTTCAATAAATTACCTGTGTTTCATAGGCTTTTGGTCTTCTTAATCTGTCAACATGTCCAATGATAGTAAATTGTGTCATTTCCACCTTTACTCCTTATTTTGTGTTTGCTTTTAATTTATATCCCTTGTAATAAATTATTCTTTTGCAGAGAATTATTTTAATATTTTCGTATTATAGTATTCTATTGCTAAAGGGTTAGAAGTATAAATCAATTCATTCAAAAAGAAAAACATGTAGTTTTATATAATATATTATAGACATAAATAAATAAGCCTTTTGGATCTAAGTTGTCATATAGGTCAAACTTGAACAAACAAAAAATTGCCCCAAACACATTTATAATCTCTTTTTTTATAACTACCATATAAGTATGTATATACTGAAATTATAAGTAGGAGTGATTAGTTTTGAATTTAAAACTTGAGATCAGATGGTTATATTTGAACTTTAAATTACTGTTTTGGAATCTGGATTTCAAATTAGCCAACTTCTAAATACAACACCGTAAAAGTGGCTAACTTCTAAATACAATACCATAAAAGTGGCCAACTTCTTAATACAGTACCATAAAGTGGCCAACTTCTAATGCAATACCATAAGTGGCTATTTATGTAAATTGACATTTGACTTAGAGGGTTAGTCAAATTAACTGATACAAAAAGTCGAGTCGTAGATTACATTATTAGCCCAATTTAACCCACTATTGAGTTATCAACAAATAAACTAAGAATGTCAAGAAGTTGCTTTAAATGGAGGTCATTTGCAATTTTTTGCTTCTCAATTGACATGTATCAAGTTTTTGCAAATAAAAAGTGAAAATAAATTTTTTGTTGATAGGGTTTTATTTTAGTGGTTAATCATGTAAGATATATTATAAAAGAATCAGATTGTTGAAGTTCTTGTTGAGATTTTCGATTCTTGGCTAGAGTTAGCTATGTCGGATTCTTGAAGTCTAAAGCAGCTAGAGTTAGGGGTCGTTTGGTGGAGTGTATAAAAATAATATAAAATAGAATATATTTACAACACCTGCATAGTATTGCTTGTATTAGTTGTGCATAGATTATTTCTTATGCATTGTTTGGTTTGATGTATTAAAAATAGAATGTATTGTATATATGAAAATAGTTATTTACAAAAATATCTTCCATTATTATGATATAAAAATGCTTTTGGGGGGTTATTTGTGTCTTTAAAATGCTAGCTAATGCACACATTATGTCACTAATACCTAGAAATATATGATATTAGTAATACACTACGAATACGCAATAGAGTATATAACTAACGCATAGCATGAAAAAAGTTATCAAACAAGATGCTATCGATAGACAAAGCTAATGCAAACATTATTTTTGTAAATAGATTCTATCAAGCGATCCCTTAGTGGTTTAGTGGACAATACAACTATTGTGAGTTTTTGCTAATAGTAAGCTCTATTTCGAGTGAAATGGAGTTGGGTTGAAAATTCTGTGAGACATGTCGTGATTCTCTTCTTTCTTGAGAAATGAGATTTTCACGTAAAAATTTACTCATTTTACTTCTTACACTTATATACTATCGAGGGATCTGTTCCAGTGATTATCAGCGAACACATACATTTTGTCAAAATTATTAATTCTTTCCTCGTAATCCCCTCGCCATTTTCCTAGCTATGTATAGTAAAGAAATCACATGGCTCATAATGTTGCAAAATTTGCGGCCATTTGTAGTGCACTGAGAAGACTTACCATAACTTAAATCTTTTTAAAATAAGATGTGGAGCAACATCCTATAATTATTGAAGTTAAAAAGAAATGACCCACAAAAGATAAATTACTTCTTACTATGTCTTCTTTTTTATTGTATTTTTGAAGGCAAATAGTAAAAAAAGAATTAACTTTCGGCGCGTCCCGTAAATGATGTTAAACTGTTCTTCTTCGTAATTCGTGCTACCACTAAGGTCAAATTTTCCACACCAAATAGTCAAGACATCAATCCCAATGCCCTATTTGTTTCACACTCATATCCATATTGAAGCCTGACTATTTGTAATTCGTAAATCGTAAAATCTTGTTAATAAAAAACACTTTTTTCTAATAAATTTTTCACATTTAAAATTAAAATTCGAGACCTTTAATTAAGAGAGGAGCAAATTAATCAATAGCATTGTTGTTGTTGGTTTGGAGGTGGTGGGGGGGTCAATTTTTTCAACATGAACAATCTTAAGGAATCCAAAGATTTGAAAGTGAATGGAATGATGTTTTTAAAAGTTAGATCAAATTAACAAAATCAATAAACAAATTATCTAGGGCAGAGGAATTTAGTGCGAGTTCAACTAAACTCACTATTTTCAATTCAAAATATGTATACTAACAGGAGAAAAAACAACATTCAAGTAGCATACATATAATATAATCACACCGATTCTAAACTTTGAATTCGGCTTAAATAAATTACATGTTAATTATCAGCATATCCTTGTTTGTACTTGCGGAATATTTCTTCAGTTTTGGCATTTCTAAAAGCACAACACCCAATCAAATAAACCCAAATTAATCCAACAAGAGTTATAAGCAAAATAATATCAGCCCTTCTCCATTCTTTCTTCAAATTAGCCAATAATCCAGCTTTGCAAGAATCACAAGAATAACAAAGTTGTGTTTGGTCATTGTTCCAATTTAAACAATCCATGTCTGCTGCATTATTTATTGGACTAATCCAATATGTTGGGTTCACAAATGTGTAACCACATTGTGTTGGTGGCTTACAACACCCTGACTGTAAAAATAAGTGTCGCTTTAGCTCATTTCACGCTTATTAAAAAAATACATGATATAATTAGCCACAACATATGGTTCATTAATATATACTCTAGAATATAATTGAAATTTTCAAAGCAATACTTATTTCGAAAAGAAAGGGGTAATTAATAACTAAAAAGAAGTTAATCCTAATCCTAGGCATATTATCACATGGAAAAGGAATAAGATTCTTGTGTCTTTTAATTAAAGCCTGTTTGCTTAATGTTATTTCTTTGTCTATGCTTTAGATATACTTGTTTTAACGTGGGAATCACTCTAGGTATAATCACAAGTTTTAAAAGAGGTTTTTCTCTGAGTAAAACATAAAGTTTTCCTTTAAAAAAACAATTGTTTTTCTAATAGAAACGAAACAAATTCTAATCTACTTTATAAATCCTCACTTTTCATGTTGCTCTATTAAATCATTCTTAACACACAAAAAAAATAATATATATATATATATATATATATATAATAATTTTATTAGCATTACAAAATTTCTACATATTTTATTTGCAACAAGATCATCCTTACGGAGAAACAATAATAGCAAATAAACAAATAAAACCTTCATAAGATATATTCTTGAAGAAATAATAAGTTTCTAAGCAAGCATTTGAACATCATTAATTTTTCATATATTAAAAATAAAATAAATCGAAGTTAAGTTGAAAAAAGATATTTAAAATTGAAATTATATTTAGACATCCACTTCAAGTTTTGTGACGAAATATTTACCTAATAACTTAAAAAGAGCTTCCAAAACTTGAAGATCTCAACTCCAAAGTTGAAGTAAAAATTGACTACAATGTATAACCAAATAGCTTTAAAAAAAATTTCTCATGTGCTACATTTCTCTATGAGTTTAAAAAAAATCATAAAACCATGAAATCATGCAAGTAAATTCAAAACATAAATACTAAAATTCAAAATAAAAACATACCTGCAAAGGACTTAAAGGTGCATTAAAAAAATCTTGAGCCATCTTATAACTTTGATTCAATTGAGCACACATTGATGTAGAGCTAAGACAAGTTCTAATTCTATCCCATTTGAATGAACTTTGAACTCTTCTTCTAAGCCAACCAGAATAATCTTCAAGATGATATTCCAAATATGTTCTACTTGGTTCCATATGACCAGAACCTCTAATAGTAACCATATAAATAAATACAACCAAACATGCTAGCAATATTATTAAAATAAGCATAGCAATAAGGTAGAAAATTAATAATGCTGGAATTCTCCAAAATCCACCAATAAAACCAGCAAGTGCTACAACTAAGATAAGAACTCCTAATATAATTACTGGCCATTGTAGAATTTTGACACAAGAATTGTCAGGTTCCATTGCTAGCCAAATTCCAGCACCAATCACTGGAATTGAAAGTAACATGGCTACAAAGTTAATACACCCTATCACATTATTACTTAGTGCCATTCTTGATTATTATTTTTTTTCTCTAAGGAATTCGAAAGATTGAGAGAGATGGAGAATGGAGATTGTGAGAAAAAGAGTTGTTGATATCTAGGGTGATTAGTCACTTTTTGTTCCTTACTTTAGATCCATGAAACTACTAAAGGAAAAATATATTATAAAGGGGATCGGATACCAACATAGGTTGTGGTGCATGACCGGTGAATTCTTTGATATTAACTAGAAATTTCACGTTCGAACCTCAGATATGAAAAAAGAACTCTGTTGAAAGTGTTATCCCGTAAAAATAGACGTTATAATATATGAAATTAGATATTAATCAGACTTTACCGTAAATATCTTATATTGAGATTTGAAATGTGTAATGAGGTTAGTGCAACTTTTTCAAAAGGGGAACAGGTTGTAAAGAAAACAAAAGTGAAGGGAAAGAAGAAATTCGTTGCTACATAGAGTAGAATCAAAACTCTATGTCCCACATCTTGTCATAGAGCTGTGTAGTGCATAGGGTTATGGTGTCTCAAATTTCTATATATTCCAAGTTTTGCATATACACTGAGATCCTTTAATAATGAGCCTTTTGGTTTCCTTTTTTTCATTTATTTTCGAAATGTGCATGCTAATTGCTATAATTTAACCTAAGTATTAGATTATTTACAATTTACAAATAAAATCATGTTGAATCATTATTCTAAAGTTACAAACCTAAGAGATGAAAAAAATATATTAAATTATAACATGCAAATCATGAAAGATCGATTATGACTTTATCAATAAATGTCTTATTGAATTATTTACAAATTATGTTGAAAATCGTCTATTCGTGTTGATTCCAAAAGTTATAATAGCTCATTCCAACACTTTTTTAAAAGCAAAATTCCCACATGATTCTCCTCATGTTTTCAATCCTTCTTCTTTTTCAAAATTATTCATTCTTAAAAATTTAATAAATCAATTTATCAAAGAGCTTTCTTATTCGATTGAGCATAGAGGTCTCTATATTCTCATTTCGTCTTATGAAAAAAGAAAAAGCAACAACAACAACAACGATGATTTTTTTCCCAATACAACAACAATTACTTGAGGTAGTTGAGACTTGAGATGAAGAAGTCGTGATATTGATACATTTTGATATATCTACATATACAAATAATATACATATATTTTCTATAAGGATAAATTGTGACCCATCGGGAAAGAAGAGAAACCCTAATTTCACAATAATCATAAGGTAATTTTTTTTAAAAAAAAATCTAAATCCAGTATTTTCTTTAAAAAAAAAGAATTTACAATTATTATCAAGATATACAGATATATAATTAATTTATTTATAAAAATATATATAAAGGCACACCTCATTCATTGAATTAGCCTAAATACCAAACTTAATAAGTTTGTTATCGGCATAATTAACATACATGCCTTTTAACTTTTTAACTTAGACTTTTGCATGAATATGCTTAATCATTCACTTTAATTTATATAAATTTGAACAAGTAAACATAATTTAATATATACACATAAAATATCACTAAAATCATAAATTATTATATAAAATGTCATATAAAATAAATATATTTACTTATTAACTTTATATAAATTTAAGTTACTAAATACTTGGTGCATTCATATCCAAAATGGTAACACGAAAATATCAACTAAAATCAAATTTGATGACATGTATTATGACTTTGGTATCTCAATTATTATAGTGTGGCCAATAATGCTTCCAATCTAAAATATCCCAAAAATAAGTAATTTGAGTATTTGGTTTGAAGAGAAAGGGATGAAATGACTATTATACCCTTGCAATATCTTTTGTGACCTTCCCTTAGCTTCAAGCTTTGTGTAACACAAACAATGGCTGCAATTGAATTAGCAGCATCCTCAATTTTCTCATCTCCTCCTTCTTCCTCCTCTTATCTCAAATTCCCATTGTTTCCCAATTCAATTAAACTCCAAAATTACAATCATTCTCTTAATCTTTCTCTGAAATCCATTCTATATCCTCTTCCTCTTCCTTCAAGAAAACAATGCACCCAACTTCACTGCTCAGCAGTTGAAGTCACTGAACCTGTAACAGTACAAGAAGAGAAAACAGAGAAACCCCAGAAAAATAATCAAAGAAGAAAGCTTTTTGTTCTAAACTTACCATGGTCTTTGACTGTTGCTGATATCAAGAACATCTTTGCTGAATGTGGAATTGTTGATGATGTTGAGGTATTCTTTTTTTTTTTTGGAGTTTGTGTATGTTTATCTGGCTGTTGTTGAAAAAAAGGTGTTAACTTTTTACCTTTTGGGTGTTGAATTAGTAGATTATAAAGACCAAAGATGGAAAGAGTAGAGGATTTGCCTTTGTGACAATGTCTTCTGGGGAAGAAGCTCAAGCTGCAATTGACAAATTGGATTCTTATGTAAGTTTTTTTTGGTAATAAAACATGATTAGGTATTTGATATTATGCTAGAAAAAAATAATTGATGTTTGGTTGTAGTTAGCATAATTTTGTGTATTTCTCTGAGGTCAATGTAACAGTAAAATTCATGTGAGAATGGTTGTCTTTGTAGTGGAAGATATTGTTCAAAATTTTCAAGAATTAAGAAGAGAAAAGCAAAGATGTCTAGTAAGGACAATATAGAAACATGAGGCTCCTTGTGTTAAAATATTAAGAGATGGTTTCTGGTAAACATTGATAAATACTGAACAAAGCATGCTCAATAATGCAGGGGTTGATGGATTATGTACCTGTCTGATGTCGCTTAAGTTAAAGTACTTCATTGGTCTTTTAAGTAATTATAAAGATCTGCGCAATCTGATTTTTTTTTATGTGCAGCTTTGTGTAGTTCTATTCTTGCTTGGTTGGATGTATACTGCTTTTCATTTAAGTAGTAGAGAACATTTGCTATTACGTTCATCCTGAAAAAAAAGAAAAGAAAATACGCTTGCTATCAGATTCATTATGATAAACAAAAGAAGAAGAAGAAGAAGAAAATACTTGTTATCACACTTACAGGAATGCAAATGCAAAGATCAACTTTTTTTGGGTCATAACATGACATGGATCATTTGATTTGAAGATCAGAAGCTAATTCATAGAACAATGAATGGGTTACTTCTGTCTCTTGAGGATTGAAATATTTTTTATGTTAAAGATTACATGCATCATTGTTGCCAATGAGCTGGATGAAATCTTGCTTCTTAATCTAAGTACGTAAGCATGAAATTAGTGCTTAGATTTTCCTTTTGTTTGTCTTAAGGGATTACTCTTTTCATAATGCAACCTCTGGCTTTCCTTTAATATGTTTGTTTCTTTGCGTTATTGTTTTTGGTTTACTCTTTTCCTGTTTGTGTCTTCACCCTTCTTTGTCCATGTTTTGGTGGTACAGGAAGTATCAGGAAGAATCATCAGGGTAGAATTTGCGAAGCGATTTAAGAAACCTCCAGGAGCTCCTCCTCCTTCAACTCCTCCCCAAGGGGAAGCACGACATAAACTTTATGTTTCTAATCTTGCATGGAAAGTGAGGTCTACCCAACTAAGAGAATTCTTCTCAGCAAACAACAATCCAATTTCAGCTAGGGTTGTTTTTGACAATGCTTCAGGAAGAGCTGCTGGGTATGGTTTCGTAACCTTTGACACAAAAGAACAAGCAGAGGCTGCACTATCTGCTTTAGATGGAAAGGTATACCTAAACAAACTTCTTTCCCTTAGTTTGCCTTCTTTTTTTCCCAGTATGATCATTTTATCTTATTTAGCGTTTGCCATTGTACTATTCTGCTTCATGTTTTTGAGGATTATCTTTTCAACTTGTCAAAAATTTAAAATAAGCTACACAATCTCATTTTTATTGTTTGTATGTTAATCGAAATTTTTCAGAGACTTCGTTGAAACTGGGACTTGGTTTCAGAACCATATTGTACGCAGCATTGGTCACAGTGTAAATTTTGATAAGATATAGTCTAACACTTGCAAGAAATTTTGACAAGAAAATGCCTTGGGTTTTATCATTCGGATTCAAGATATAAAGTGAGCGCAGAGTATCTTTGAGGTGCATGGGATGGATAGTCTACTATTGGTTCTCTAAGTGATTTCAAGTAGTGTAGTTTCTTTATAAACATGTCACCAAATTGTGTTGCACTGCGAATGTCTATATAGGTCTTGAGTTTTGTTTGGATCATGCACAAACATGGTTATGTCTCAGATGCCTTAACCGGTAGTCTTGAAAATTTTAGAATTGCCAATGACTATAAATCTGGATTTTCCAGTGATTTTATCTGATGCTCCTTCAAAAATTCCCTTCCATTAGATGTGTAAATACTGGAACACAAGTATGATCATTGATCATAAGAAAAAATCATATTTGTGGGAAGTGATGCCGGTGTATATGAAGAGAGACTTATGGAAAAATATATATTTATTACCATTTTTGAAATCCTTGTACTGTAAATGTCAAGACTGTGATGTATGTTTTACATCTTAATTTAAAAATGCAGGAACTGATGGGCCGGCCAATTCGCTTGAAATTCAGTGAAAGGGATGCTGATGGATCTGAAAACAAGGAAGAAGCACCGACTCAGGAAAATCCTGAAGAGCCATAGATGACTCCGGTGATTATACTTCTATGGATCATCAAGGTCCTGTTTAAACCAGACTTCTCTTCTACTTGTGCAAATAGTTGCTGACTGTTACATGATAACCATATTTTTTGTAGACTCCAAATATATTTATTTGACGTGTTTGTTTGGTCATACTTTGGTGACCATTTATCTTGTTTCCCTGTTTATTGGTTCCTAAAGTGTCACTGATGTTTTTGTTTTATAATGTCAATCTTCATGAGAAAAATGTAAAGATGGGTATTATTAGTCAAGTTTTGCATTACATTATATGATTTTCACATACAAAATACACCCTTTATATGATTTTCACTTATATTTTCTGCATTCTTTTCTGTTTATTAAGAGGATCTTCACCAAAGTTTATATGATTCATGTTACAAATGACATGTTCACTATCGAACCAGGAAAATGAGTTAAAATTCAACTCTTAGGATAAACTGTGTTCAGGTTATGTTGGAGGTTTTCTGTGATCAATGATTGACCTGGAAAGGTAATAAGTGATGGATTCAAGAGAGTTGTTTTGGCTGGTCTTGGCAAAACTCTAACCTATCATCCTTCATTCTGTTATCTTACGATTGTGTTTATTACAATTATATAAGGGAGATATGTAGCAGCATCTGAAATGAGTTTAATGTCTTTGTCTCACTGATGACTTCTTGAAATTGAAGATTTGTACACTACTCTGTCGAAAAGTGTTAACCTCGTTTAGTTGTGTGTCCCATGCCTACCCACCCCAATCCCACACTCCCTTCCCTGTGAAAAAGACCTCTAGGGAAATACTTTTCCAGTTAATATATATTTTGACAAAGCTTTAGGGAGAAAGCAAAATATCACAAGGTTTACTGTTCTATTGATGATCATTCCAAAATATCTTTCCTTTGGTGTATATAGACAAGATACGAGAACAGGAATATTAAGTGTTCAATGTATCATCTTGTTTCTATCTTGGATGTCCTTGATATTTAGGAAATTACATTAGTCATTACATTTTCTGAAGCACGAATTTCTGTGGAAATCTGTCTTTGCTTAGGGAATCAAAGAGATTCTTCAAAGGCATTGGTTGAGTTTGTTAGACTAGTATTCTCTTCTTCTGCTGCAAAACTTTAATCGTACTTGGAAAGTAAAAAGGGAAATGAGAAACCAATGGAATATCGATTATTGACCTCCTGCTGAGTAAGCTATTTGGACGTTCAGCGGAAAAAATAAAAGCAAGTACTGAATCAACAACCTATGTAGAGTTTATTTTTTTTAAAAAGAAATGAGTGCGAAGAGAAGGTATTTCTCGGTATTACAATATAGGAATGCTACATAACTGACCATGCCTGAATTCTTTCACCCACATTATCCAGGAAAGATACCTCATGACTAGTAAAAATTTCAGTTCAATTACATTCTCTTCGCTCCTTTAGTTTACCTCACTTCATTTACGCCATTACATTTTCCCTATCTACTGCCAGAATTTAGATCAGTATTTAGAACCAGACACAGGAAAGGCCAAAGAAACAACATCAAACTTTAATAAAGTAGTGTTTGTTGGACAAAAGATTATCAAGAACCAAAAAGAGAATATATACTTCTTCTCTCAAGTGGCTATATAGCCAAGATTCCCACTTCCAATGTCAAAGTCACAAAGATAATGAAGAATACTTTTGGTTGATTTTACAAGTGTGCTCTAATCTAATGGTGCTTACTTTGAGTATTCAATAAGTTGATGAAATAATTTCTAACTAAACAAATCGTACATAAAGATTTATTGATCGAATTTAGTGGTTAGAATGACAAGATTTGTTTACTTTCTTGATGGAAGTGATTGGAAAGGATCTACTTAAGGATGAAGATACTTGGAAGGTCAACTTAGTGAGTTATCTTAATATAAAAATCACAGAATTTCATGCAATATATATAAGTACTATATAGTACTGTTTAGAGTTAGTTTAAAGTGGCTTAAACCATAATTAAAGCATTGCTTACTTTGATGAGTTCCCCATCAACATGATTAGTCAACAGACCACTATCAATAATAAAGCAAGTTAAAGAAGAAGAAGGGAGAAAAAGAAAAGAAAACTAAAGGTAAAATACCTATCACAAAGCATTCTCCCTTCTTGGTTTATTATTCTCTCTGCTTTCCATTTAACTACTTTATCTCTGCCTCCCCTCTTTCACCTTCACTCTTTCGAGGCAATCATCATATTTTCTCTCTGTTTCATTCATCTGTTGCTCTTCACTTCCTTCTATCTAATATCAATATTTTAGGAACAGTCCTCACTTCAATTTTGTTTTATCTAGTGTGTCAAGATTACTGTATTTGAAAGTGTGATGTTAAGTTTCTTTTTCTCGTCTGTTTTTCTTGAGTTCGATAAATGGTGTCTGTAAACAGTTCAAGAACTTGGGCACCACCACATATGAGCACAAGGGATTGTTCCCAAGAATCCTGCAGTTTATACTGCCCACAATGGTGTTATATAATCTTCCCACCTCCACCTCCATTCGACTTCCCGGCTGATGATAATGATTCTGGTCCAAATTTCTCTCCTCTAGTTATCGGGATCATCGGAATCCTTACCAGTGCTTTCCTTCTAGTTAGCTACTATGTCATAATGTCAAAGTGCTGTGGACACAGGATTGGTTTAAGTAGGGAGAATCATCTGAATGATTCAGAACTAGAAGAGAATGATCCTTCAATTCATGAGGCATGGAATGTGAACACAACAGGTTTAGATGAATCTCTGATCAAGTCAATTATGGTGTTTAAGTACAAGAAAGGAAGTGGATTAGCTGAGGGAACAGATTGTTCTGTTTGTCTGAGTGAATTTCTAGATGATGAAAACCTTAGACTTTTACCAAAATGTAGTCATGCTTTCCATGTTACATGCATTGATACATGGCTGAAATCTCACTCCAATTGCCCTCTATGTCGCTCTAATATAGTGTTTGTAACTGCTGCACCACCTCCTGTTATCGAACCTCCTTTGATAAACGAAAGAACCTCTGAAAACCAACCTGAAAACGATATAGAAATGGGGGTCAGAGAGGAAGATGATGAACAAGAAGTTGTAGAAAGTAGAGTTCCTTCCAAGAGACTAATAACACAAAACATGAATCTACTAATAAGAAGATCAGTATCAATGGATCAAGTGTCGCGAGGTGTTTTATCTATAGCTGATATACTAAAGATTGATCATGATGAAGATTGTGAACTGGGAAATTGCCCGTTTCACGATAGAGAAGTTGGAACATCAAGACAAGAAGTAAGGGAAGAAGAAGAAGAAGAAAACACATTACCTTATTGTGTGCCAACTCCTATGGGGATAAAGAGATCTTTTTCCAGTGGGAGATTCATATTCCCTAAACGCGGAAGAGGACAAAACACGATCATCCCATTGTGAAATTTGTTTTGACTACAGAATCATGCCTGTCTGTCAAATCGAATTGGATGATCAGGCCGAGGCTGCTCCCAAAATTAGGAGGATTTGTGCATTTTGTGCCATCAGATAAAGAGTTCATATAAAGGAAAAAAAAAAGTTTGAAAGGTTTTTGCTTTAAGTAGTTGAGGTTTTTGTGTGTTGTCAGCTCATCTTCTACACTACCAATATTTATTTTCTTTGATATCATTTTGTGCTCAAACAAGTTAAAATATAATGTATCATTTCACTATGATAAGATTTAACTGTTGGATTGGACTTGTCACTTGATGAAAGAACAACAAAAATTATAAATTCTCTCTTTAAGTTAATTCATCTTTATTTTATTTTGTATTTGTTTTCAGTAACTCCTTACTCCTAAAACGTTACTGTGAGTAATGTTTTAGGAGTAAAACGTTATTGTGAGTAACGTATATCAATCTAACACCGTCAGCTTTTAAAAAATAAAATATACCCTAAAACGTTACTGTGAAATATGTTTATACTAGTTTTGTAAAATTTTAGAAAAACATACTATTTTGGTGAATTGCTTTATATAATGGCTTAGTTTAGTCAAAATCTCAATTTATTCTGTATCACTTTAAATTTAAAGTTTTGAACTCTTAATTTGATGTTTAAAGTCAATTGGAAAACATCAAGTTCAAATAATTAACAAAAAAAAAAGTTCAAATCTGAAGCTTAACTCAAGTACTTCAAATTACTTCACGTTTAAATGTTGAACTCCTCTAAACTAAAAATTGTAACCTATTATAGGCAATAACCCAATGGATCAGCAGGGGCAGAAATTCACTATGGGCTAGTTTTGTTTTGGTATATCATTTTAAAATGTGGATCAATTTTGTATATTTTACATAAATCTCATAGTGTTAAGAGTTAGTTACATATTTCTCTACTTTTTTTAAATTATGAAAGTCCCTTAATATTTATAGATTTCCGATACATCATTGGACTTCTGGATACAAAGGCGATAGATGTATCAAAGAGGGAGGGAGGTATCCGAGGAATGTATATGTATCATAAAGGAGATATGATCCGGATACATAGTGGAGGGATGTAAAACTTAGATATAAAATTTAGAGATTAAAGTAAAATCTGATGTGTATTTGGATAATTTGTCAATTTTATTAGCACTGATGTGTCAATTGTACTTGCCCATAATTATTTCATTAATAATACATATGCTCCCACAAATCTTTCAATTTTATAGAGTTACAGCATTTGAAAATCAATATAAAATAGTACTTTTTGCTCATTTATCAAATTAAAAATAGACCAAAGACAATCATTTTTCAGATTTGTAGCAACATATATGTGCTATAATGTTGATTGTCGTTGCGTTTAATGAAGAAACATTTATAATACATTCATTTTAACCTAAGCTTTTCGTTCAAGCCTTTTCAGATATTGAGTTGTTTTTGTTCCCTATTAAAAATAAATAAAAATAATTCCACTTATTTCTTATCAATTATGCTCTTACTTTTTTATATAAATTTTCCCAGATCGTGTGAGATCTTGGCTTTAGTCTTCGATTACGACACAAGGATCTTATCGTATTCGATCCTTATTGAATAAAATATTTATAAAAATAACCGCTAAATATCTTCATCGATAGAAAATACGTTATTGAGGACTTCTCAACTCTAATAAAAAAAAAGAAACAACATATATAGTTTTATAATACTAAGTAATAAGGATAGTAGTGTAATTGTGTGCTAAATTACAAGTCTAGAATAAGATAGACCTATAGGGATACCACATTATTTGGTCCAAAAAATCATTAGAAAAATATTAAAGAAATTAAGCAGAAACCAAGCATGTGCATTCACTATTAATAATTTAAGCTAATGGCAGTACAAAACACTTTAATCACAATAACCTGCTTAAATCATTTTCATTAGATTATCGTTTTGGATTGTATTACGTAAAAGGGAAAATATATTAAGGACCGTCCTTCAACAATTAGACAATTTAAGTAGAGACATATCCTGTTAAATCACCAAATTAAGATACTTTAAAAAGCAACGTAATTTCTTTTTAAATACTAAAGTAGAATTATTACACAACTAAATTATTTTCTTTCCCAATGACCTCTCACACTCTATCAAGAATATATAAATGTACAATTGTAAAGTTCAATCATGTCAAAATTGTTTAAATGGACATGAAAAGCAAAATATCAACTTACCTTTTTAATTGTTTTGATGTAATATTCTTCTATATTATCATTAATGAAATAATATATAGTTATATAAATAATATGTATAACTTATTTTAGATTGTAGATTTTAAAATTTATCATATAGATTGAGACAGAGGGAGTACATTATTTTCAAAGGTGTGAATCACCTTCGTATAGAAATTGAGATAGATTGGGTAATTTATTTTTGCAACGGTGTTTATATACATCCTTGTATGCACTATTTATACACTTTTATATACTTAGTGTTTTTTCTTGTATAAAAAATATATTATAAGCTATATATGAGTCTATAACACGTCATTAATTATGTATAATGCAATTTCTATTATTACAATCAATTAAGATGTGAATTTGTTGGTTTCAGTTAAAATTATTGCTTGTATTAACAAATCTTATATAATCATACATTTATAATTTTATTATTTTCTTTTATAACATACTCAGTATATATAACTTAAATTCACATACATTAATCGTTATTCGAATTCATAGTAAGGGTAAGGAGGAAACGAAGGAAGACCATAAACGTCTCTTTAGTTAAGATAATTATTTGTTTGCTTAGGTATACATATATCCACCAAAAGAAAAAAGTAATTGGACTTATTACATGAACAGAATAATGATATTAACCACACAAGAAGTATTGATAAAATAAAAAATGTGAACATTTTAGTTGGTAACAAAAAAAGTTACAATTTTGGACATATATATACCTAAGATTATTTCATATATATTATCTTGAATTGTGTGAAAACAAAAGGACTGAATTTGTTTCTATACGGAAAAGAAAGAAGAAAAATACATTATATTCTTAAATATTTTGCTAAAGATCGAGTCCATGCACTTGCATGTGTAGCCACATGTATTTTAGCCATTTCTCAAACTGATGATGATAAAAACTTTTTTTTTTGTACAAATTATACAGAATCTGAAAACCAATTCTTGGATTTTTGGGAAATTAGATGATTACAATGTTCTTGAATTGTGTACAATTAAATAAAAAATAATATACGTTTATTAGAAGGGTGTATTATTGTTTTTTTGTAACGTTTTAAAAAGTCTCTATCAAATTGTAGCACTAGAAGCCATGTGTTTTAATGAGAGTTGCAGAGTGACCCCCACAATCAAAAAAAATTAAAAAAAAACTTACTATGGTAATTTTGCTTTGAATTGAACCACAAAAATTCTGCACATTTTTATTTAATTTGCTAAAAGAAACTACTATTAGTAAAAATCACAAATATTAAAACCCGAATAATTGTACATTCAATCGCATAACCTTAATATAGTCAGCGTATAATTAATGTATATCGATTAAGAAAAGTCAATATTGAACCCGACTAGTTATTTACGTAAATATCCCTACATTACATCAATTTTCTTGAAATGTTCAATTTTTTCCCTAGAATTGATGGTAATTACAGCAACCTCATATGCAAATACTGCTATATTTTTCAACCTAACATGTTTTGCTTTTGCACAATTATAGATATAAGCACAGGGATAAAAGTCCAGAACGTTTAAATGAATTTTGTCCTGGTTAATTGTAGCTATAGAGATGGACCACATATATACATCCTTTTTTTTTTACAATTTTTAACCTTGAAATTTTATTAATTGTCCTTCAACAAATTTAACTTCATTGTAGTAACAATGTAAAAGAACTTTTAGACAATTTGGTAACTTAAAATGTAGATATATTTATGGTTAGGTTGAACTTAGCAACTTTCTCCCAAACTTGATAATTATGTTAAAAAAATTACTTATTACGAAAAAACGCAATTCAAACCTAATAAGTTAAACAAAGTTTTAATTTATCATATAGAAACAATAAATTTAAAATTTGAAATTCATCTCTAGTCGTCAGTTAAAAGTGAAATTTTATATATATATATGCATGAACTCATTTCCTTTGTAGTGTGCTAGCTAAATGTGTTTTTTTACTTCTCCATAAAACTTCATACTTTTTTCTTATTTGATGACTCGAATTCATATTCAATTCAATATGAAGTTTGTGTTTACCAATTTGAGCAAAATCCCCTCTCGTCTACATGTGCTTGAGTTTAATACATGGTTTGAAATGTCATTTTATACAATTTTTTTATACGAATCTTGTAAGTAACGTAGGTCGTAGAGCGACATAGAAAAGGAGTTACATTCAATTAAACTCGATAATTTAATAAAACTTTTATATTTGTCCTTAAACTAACAAAAATTTGTATTCATAAATTTAATATTCTGACTCCACTCCACCGAAGATGAATCTAAACATCATGTAGTACTTTATTACACAATAATTTGCTCATAAACAAAAATGATCTCCAAAAATAAATAAATAAGAGAGAGCATATAATATAGTTGACAAATATTTGCATGTGGAGCAAAGTTTAGATTAAGATTGAATGGTGTAAATTGAGAGAGGGTCGAATTTCTGAAGAATAGAATAAAAATGTACCTTCGTTAAATGACAAATTTAGACTTGCCCTAAATTGAAGGGAATCCATAGACCATGCATGAAGTAATAAGGTGGATATGTCTTAATCATCAACGACAAAAGTCATTATTAAAAAACAATGGATATTTATTAATTTGGTTCCCTCTATTAAAAAAAAAACATTAGTACTAAATTAATTACAGTTTAATCACTTTTCAATATGAAAAATATCAATTAGATGATCATATATAACTCTGATTAAATCAAAAAACATTTAAAAATTTCAGTGTAACTTGAAATGTTTATAAGTACTATTATATGCACGGTTCAAACTCTAGTTGGGATAAATCCTTCAATCATGGAGTTCAAAAAAAAAAATATTTTCATACTAATTATTTTATTGCATGTTCCTATTTAACAATATATGTCATACATACACAATCTTTTTTTAAATTCCATGAAAAGTCCTTCATAAATTCAAACATCATGAAAAAAATATCTTTAAATTTAAATTACATTTATAACTCGATAATTTTTTTTTGAGCTCTAGCACATTATGTTAGAAGTTCACTTGTCAAAACTTCAATTTGTTATGGTGGATCGTTGATCCATATTTTAACTTAAGGTATTTTTCCTCAATTATGATTTTCGCCTTGAAAAATATTCAACTATTTCTCATTACATAGTCATCCTGTCTAATTTTTTCATATTATTTATGAATTTAACTTATATACCTAAATATTGTCATACAAAAGATATCATTATGATTATTATTAGTATAATTTAATATGTTATATATCAAACGTACTGTATTACACTATTTAGTGTTATAAAAAACCCGACAATTATATGTGAGTAACTATAGAAAAGAGTAGTACTAAAAACTGTAATAATTAATTGTACTCAAATGTCACACATTTATAAACAAAAAATATCACAGCTCATGTTGTACGTACGTACAAGGACGACAAGAAAGAACTCTACTGGTACTAATTAATATGAACATTGAACAAAGTCCTTTTTTTTTCTTTTTTTTTTGTTTTGTCTACTGGATTTAAACTAAGAAGAATTAAAAAAAAAAAACATGATAAATAAAGATAACAGGGGGGGATGTGTTCCCTAGGCTTAGCAAGAAATTAAAGTGTAGCTGCTTCCTCCTCAATTATTCTTAGCATGTGGTGGACTGCACCTGCTATGTCATCTGCTGAATTTAGTTGGCAACCTTCTTCCACCTGCCATTTTTTTTGGACAAAAAAATAATAAAAGACTTCGTCAAACACGATTTAACATGATATCAGAGAAAGCAAACATTATGTGTTTAACTTTTATTGTCATACGATATCACATAATTCTAACATGATATTAGAAAAAAGAAAAAATAATATGTTTGAATTTCTAATTTAATTTCAAAGATCTTATATCTGAGTTTTATTGTTATTCATTGTCGAACACAATCTAACATTGACATAAAAAGAAGCAAATCTCTTATGTTCAGAATTTAAGAAAAAAATATGACCATATTCAGAGTTTTATCTTCTATCTATTAGTACACAATTCTAACGTGATATTAGAAAAAGCAAAAAATTCTATGTTTTGAATTTTATTTTCCTTAGTTATAACATAATCTAACATGATATCAGAAAAAAGGAAAGATTAAGTATTCGAATTTTATCACCATTCATATCAAACTTATTTTATTTGTTTGGTACAACAACATAAGAAAATGTATCAATTGAACAATTTGACATAACCACTAAAAAAAAAATTAAAAAAATCATTTTTTTTTGAAATAATTCGTAATCATAAGTACAAAAAGACAAGTATGACTTTACTAAGAAACGCCATACAAGAATTGTAAAGAAACACCCTTTCTGACCCATCATTGCCTTCTGAAATTAGTAAAAAGTAGTAGACCTTTTTAAATTCCCAAAATACCCTCAACAACTTTTTTTTTTTTTGTAGCTCATATTTTCATGTAATGAAAAGTACCTGTGCTATATAGATTCTTGCAATCTCTAGTCATTTTCTTTCAAATAAAAAAAATTAATTATAAAAATAATAATTTTCAGAAAAAAAAAATGAAATGAAAATCGTACCTTAACACTTATTGAATAAAGAACCAATGGATCTAAAGTGGTGACATTGAGGTGAAGGACAGAAATGTACAATGACTGAAACGCAGCGACCAATTTTGATAGCTGACGAAATCTTCTTCTTGATAATATTCTAACATTTGCATGTGTTTCAATTAAAGTTACTTCAATATCAGCTATAGCTGCCTTGCTCTTTGATGTATATTTATTTGGTAATTCACAACATGTATATTGTGGATACGAGAAAAATTGAGCAAATGGGGTCCCAACATAATCCGCCTTCGAAACTTCTCTCTTTCCACCGTCACAATCATCATTATCATTACTAGTACCGCCTTCTTGTTGTTGTTGTAATAATACGAATTTTTGTGCTTCAAGAGATTGTAGAATGTGTTCTAATTCCTTTACGAATTCAATTGCACCACCAACGATTGAAGCTTGGTCACCCTGAATGAACGACAACATAATAATAATAATAATAATGATAATTACGTCTCAGTTCTCAATTGTCTTTATCAAGAAGAAAAACTTATTTAATGTTCTATAAGACATTCTTACAATGAATATTCTTTATCAAATGCCAACTTACACAGTACTACTACTACTACATACAATAAATTCACAAAATGATTGATTTTCAAGTTATTAATTGACAAATGTACGTAGGGTCATTTAGAAAAATTGAATGCAAAGCGTTATTTTCTGTTATTCAATTATTTTCAACCTCTTTTTCCTCGAATCCTTGACAATACTTTTTCCTGTTTGTACCTAAATGGAAATAAAAGCTACATATAACACTTAAAAGAAAAAAAAACATCAAACCCCACAAAGAAAAAATATAGAAAAAACAAATTTTTTTTATGAACTTATTTATGTAAATTTTAGTAGAGGGACCAAGTCTGAAAGTTGTTCGTATGCACTAGGGCTCATAATTCGAGAATAAATGAATAATAGGGCAAAAATAAAAAAAAACTTTATCCTACTAATTTGCAGAATTCAAAACTGTATACATAGGCTTAATCGATTAACTATCTAAACTTTCATATTAATGATGAAAATTCAAAAGTTTTAACTTACTAATATGTTAAATTTCTAACTTCGCCGTTACTAAAAGCACTTACCATCATGCATAAATTATAGAGAAAAAAAAAAGAATTAGTACCTTATAGTATATAGTATATAAATGTTGAATTTTTTTACGTAAATTAAAACTAACAAAAAAGAGTAATTAAATTAATTAGTGTACATACATACCCTTTGAACATAAGATTCAGGCATGAGAGAACGTAAAACAGAAAGATGTTCATTCATTTGTTTCCTCCTATTTCTCTCAACAGCAATGTGAGTCATTCTTTGATTTTCAGCTTCCTCTTTATTCTTACAAATTTTAGGTCTTCTTCTCCTTTTCTTTCTCCCTCCACCGCCGCCTCCTGATTGTGCCGCGACCGACAAATTATTCTTCTCTCTAGAAGACTCTGGTCGCGGCACTGAGGCGGCGATGGAATATTGTTGCTCTAAGGGAGTAGTAGTACAAAAATCTTGAGGCTTTAATAGAAAGGCATTATTTTCTTCATGATTGTCAAAAAATAAGGCATTTTCATCAAGATTGTTGTTGCTATTGGTGGTGGTGGTGGTGGTAGAGATTGTATCGTAGATAATGAAGTTGAGGAGTTCATTGGTAGAAAGTGCTTCTAAAGCCATTTGGAATAACTTTTTTTTTTGTTTGTGATTTTTTAGATAAGTAGGAGGGTCTTGGATTTTGCTTTGTAAGAGGGCTTTGTATGTGTGTGTTGTTTTGTTTTGAGAACCCCAATGAACATTTGACTTGTTTTACTAACTCTATTATCTATTTGTATGGAGTGTTATAAGACTTCAATTAGTATTTTATAGTGATAACCACTGAGTTCCTGAAGTAGTATGGGTAAGACAAAGACATATTATAGCTAGTAATTGATGGGTCGTCGTCCTTAATCAAAGCTTTCGAATTTTAGAATAAGAGAATAACGAACTTTTTGATAAAATAAATTATGTCTTTAGGTGGGCCTAGTTAGCGTGAATTCAAATTATTTAAATTAGTAAATTTTCGCTACGAATAAAAATTTATAATCATAGTCCTTAATTAGAGTTTTCAAATTTCAGAATAAAAGAACAAAAAAACTTTTTGATAAAATAAATTATGTCTTTAGTGGACGTAGTTAGCGTGAATTCAAATTATCTGGACTAGTAAATTGCAGCTACTAACAAAAAAATATAATGGGTGATTTGCTAAAATAGCATATCGATAACCTTTTTAAGTTGTAAAATGCGATCTTGAACTTTTAGTCCAATTTAAAAAGAAACTTTGAAGGATACCTTAAATTAAGAAAAATTGTCGATTAAATAATAAATGCCTTTTATATATATATAAAAAAAGTAATGTTATTAGTTAATACAATTTAAACTTCTCTTCAATAGGCAATACATGGTAACTAATGAAATATCTCAAATATTTGCCAAGTCATTAAGCGCAATCATACGCTATTATTGATGTATTATGATATTATTTGTTAATTTGTATTAATAATATTAATTATAGCATCTTTTTAAATTTTATACATCAATTTCAATTAGAAGGTGTTTGAGGTTTTACAACTTATTAAGATTAATAATATAAACATTATAAATAATTAACATATTCACGTAATGAACGCTTGAAAACACAATCATTAGCTTTTCCCAAATTGAAGGCAAAAGTATTTAATATGATTATATATTTGAATGTTGCTATTGAAACAGAAGCGTAATTTAAGTCTTCATAAAATTAACTAGCGATATATTATGTTTTTTTTTCTATTTTTTTCCACTCACTTTTTCATATAGAATGACTCGTTTGATATGCTTCACTCTCATGCATTTTATCGTTCATTTCAATTATTTATTTTAAAAGAAGGTTATAAGGGACCATTTTTTTAAAAATAATTATCAAAATTATACGGATCCGAAATTTTTAGTACATAATTAAACGGAAGGAATGCAAACGTGCATCTTTTAATTTAGAAAAAAAGTTTTATATTATGTTGTTCCTTGGTAAATATTCTAATATTTAATCTTTTCCCCTGAATCTTAGTAGTATCTTTGTACCGCAGAACAATGTCATGAGTAACACATATATTAATAAATAATGAAAGTAGGCATTTGGATAATATTTGTTGTAAATGTAAGGAAAATAGAATACTTTTCAAGTTGAAATTTGGATAATATTTTGTCCATTAGTTTTTACATTTTCCTTTTTAATAAGTTTAAACCTATGTTACTCTTGGGATGTTATATAACAGGTTTTAAAATCATGTAGCTTATATAATATTTTTAACATAATATAAACTTATAACGCAAACACATTTAGTTTAATAACATTAAGATTGAAAAGTTCTTTTTAATTAATATTTTTAACTTTAATATCAGTTATAACTTTATTTAATAAAATTTTAAACATAATTCTCTTATTTATATCAGAGTCATTAAGTCTGTTTGTATTTTGTTTATGCTACAAAATACAACATCTTAATAGTCTCAAAAATTAAAAAAAAATTGCAATAAATTTATCATTAAAATACTTAACTCAAAATTTTTAACAAAAATAAAAATTCACCAAATCCATCTATTCACGCTACAATCATCACCCACCATTAAAAACCAACATCACTGCCGCCTATCATTTTTCTCTATCATCATTCTCGTTCATACTGTTGCTACACTAATCAACTGTCATTATTATTAGCCATTATCCAAAAATCATCACCACCAATTATCATTACAACAATAATTATTGATTATTATCTACAATCATCATTATCAGTCAGACAGTCACCACTATATACTGTTAACCACCGTCACGAAATATTTACTATGATCCACACATCATGACACATCTAAATGCTCCCACAAGATTATTGGCCAAATGCCCTACAAATCTTACCGACTCAAATTTTACTAATAGAATCTCTACGACTATAAGAATTTTAACCCAAGCAGACCAGATCTTTCGTTTTCCCTATCTTTTCTTGTTAATTATTGCTTCTCCTTCTCACACACAAACAAAAAAAAATGTCTACATTTTAATTTACACACACATAATGTTAAGTCATATAATGGTTGTAATGCTTTGGTTCTCAATTTATTTATACAAAAATGTCAAAACATACTGCCAGAGGGGGGGTGGGGGTCCCAAGTGTAGGGGGACCCAAGATATAGATTGAGATATGCATAAAAACAATATAACAAGCTGTGCAAAAGCTACCCTTCACGCTCTTACTTTATATCTTCTTCTTTTTTTTTTTTCATTTTCCCTTTGAAAATTGGGAATTTTTTTTTCTACCCACTATAGAACTCAATTCCCTAGATAATAATACATGTATATTTTTTTTTTTGGCCTTTCTATACCTTTTTTCTTGTGGCTATCATGTCTTTAATCTTGCAAAATGTATTTTTCACGTCTATATATACTTGTCTATTCTATCAAATGAATGTCTTCCTAGTTTTACATTTAGCATAACTCAAAAATAAATGATTTCTTAAAAGTTTAAGATAAAAATTAATATATATTTTTTAATTATATCCATATGCTCTTTTTTTTTGTAATAATGTTCAATTCAGACAGTTTATTGATTTTAATCATGTAGTGCATTTGTTAATTTCTTAGTAGATGTGATTCTTGTTGTTTGTAATTAGGACCAAAAAATGTCAATTTTTATCTATTCAATTTGGAAAAATTATAAGATAATTTTGCACTTTATACCTATTTTTACACTTATGAAACATATTACTTCATCTGTCTCAATTTATATGACTCATTTTTCTTCTTAGTTAGTTTCAAAAAGAATTACAAAACTTTTCTATATTTAGCAACAATTTAAATTTTTAAAATGTCATCTATACTTATTTTAAATCATAAATTTTTAAAGTCTTTCTTTCTATCTTAAACTTCGTACGAATCGATCAAACTAACTTATATAAATTGATTTTCAAAAAAATATTATTTTTCAATATTTAAAAATGTTAGATTCTCCCTTTAACATATATCTTTTGTGATGGTTTCAGTGGGAAATGTCATTCACATCTTCCAACTTAACCTACGTGAAAAGTAAGGATCAACCACAAACCTTTGGGGTGGGGGGGGGGGGTTTAAAAAGGTGTCTCTAATGTCAGTTTATAGGGACTGAAAAGAAACTTCATAGAAATAGTTGTAGGTTTAAGCTAAAAATATTATTACTACTAGAAAACGAAGATACTTCTCGTAAATTAACATTACAACAACTTTTACAAGTTGATGAGCCAATAGCTTTTCACTATCTTCTTTCCAAATTATCATTTGGGGAAAAGGGCTCGTTTTGTCTGTGAAAATATTTTATTAAATTGATGAATATTTATCATATGTTACATTTTTAGTTCTTTCATTGTTAATTAAGTAACTCAAACATGTATTATTCATGTTATACGATATTGTTAGATTATTATATTACGAAAGAAACATATCAAGAGTAAGCTCTTAAAAGAGAGGATCAAACATATATCATATAGTAGATTTTTTTACAAAATTAAGGTGTATAATACAATTACATAAACTATAGGAGGTTGTACGAATTCCACCAAACAAGAAAACAAAATAATATAATTATAATGATGATAATAATATTTGCATGTCACAGATGAACCCATGAGTTTGTGATTCAGAGGAAATAGTCAACAAAAGAACAGGATAGATATTGCATGAATCAGTACTCTGGGAACCATAATTTATTTATTTATTTTATTAAAAAATATAACGGCGTAGTACATTATTATCTGAACAAAAAAACAAAACTACTTCCTATCTCAGGCACAGACATGAAGGTTCATTCACATATTGACACCTACTCTTTATTTAAATATAAGTATTATCCACTAAAATTCAATATCCATACACATAATATAAAATATCTATATTATCATTATGCTTGTTATTTTTCACGAGTTTTTAATTGTAATAAGTCTAAATTTAATTTCATTTTGAAGAAAAAAGCTAGTTATCTTTTCTTTTTTTTTTTAAAAAAAAAAACACGATTAAATTTACTATTTAACTTGTGTTTTGCCTTCATACCTCTATTTTGTTGACATCCTAAGTACACTAGCAAGTAACAAGTTTTATTGTACAACTAGTTGTGCATCATATGGGCAGAGGTAAACCCATGAATAATAAAAAAAAAAATCGTCTTTAGTAAGAGTGAAGTCAATGCAATCAAAATCGACATGTCTAGGACGGAGGTGAACCTATGTTGAATGATTGAGATCCCTCTATGACTCCATCCTTAATCAGATTCATCGAATTTAAATTCTTAAAACTAATTTTTTTTTATTAAAAGTATATTCCCCTAAAATAAACCCTAATGGCCAATTTGGATTTACTAGTACCTTACCCCCAACCACACCCACCATAAAAAGAAATAAAAAATCAACTATGTATCAAATATAAATACACCTTATTCCCCTTCGGGGTGGCCCAGTGGTTTGAACTTGAGACTTTCATGTTAGGGGTCTCAAGTTCGAAATCCCTTGCTAGCGTAAGCAAGGGCCTTCTAGGTCAAGCTCGTCACACCAAGTACAGGTTACCTCTCCTATGTGGTTTACGAACTATTGCATAGGAGGGATAAAAACCCAGAGCGCACCCAAAGAATAACAGCTGCAAATTTCCCTTCTCATTAAAAAAAAATTAAATTAATACACGTTCTTGTTCCATTCCTATTCTAATGTACCATTCTAATTTACAATAGGCTGTAAAAAAAATTGCATATTATAGCATGTATTCTATACTGAAAAGAGACGAAATTTTACCAATTTTAGCAAAAAGTTAAAGAGGCAAAAGCTGCCCTATGAAAAGCCTTACTACATTAATAGAATACATGATGCATGCATTTGTTATATTTTGACTCTACGTTAATCAACTCATTAAGTATGGGAGTTCATTTTTTGACTAAAGATTTTGAAATGATTATCAATAAAATATTTGGAACTTTGTTTAAAAGGTACAATGCTTACTTGGGTCCTCCATGATACTTTGACATCAACCTTGTCATTTCCTCTTGTCCTACTCTACTTTTCTCACTGTTCATTAGGTATCCAACCAGTTCCCACTTTTTTTTTTGGGGTGCAAAAGATTCAAAATGCACTCTGTCACAAATAATGTGATAGGTTTTATTATTTCAAAATAACTCAACTTCAAAATTTTCTGTTTTTATAGCCATATAACTAAATTATTCTTTAGACCATAAATTTCAAAAATCTTTCCTAATTAGATATTTCTTAAATTTCATACCACATAAATTAAGCAAGGGGTTGTAATACAATATGACATTCCATCGCTACTCTATCCCTTTGAGAAATGGTATTAACTATTTGGCTAAATTTTTGAAAGGTCATAACCGCTTATTTTTTAAAAAAGTCTAGTTACTTTTGAAAGAAAATAAGTGTTTTCAAAAGGTAAAAAATGTAGCGTTTTTCCGAAAAATACTTTTGAGGAAATACACTTTAGAAGCACTTTTTAAAAACTTGATTAAACAGTAATGGTTGTTAAAAGTGTTTTTTTTTTTAATTTTTGTGGTCAAACACATACGGCTTCTCACAAAAAAATCTTTTTTAAAAGTACAGCATTAAAAATACTTTTGCAAATAATCTAATTATAAATTATTAATAGCTTGCTCACAACTTTCAATAATAATATAATAAAAATCTTCCCCCTGAAAAGGTAAAAGAAAAGAAAAATCAGAACAAAAACTTCCTCAAATGAGCACTGCTAATTAGAGTTCTTTTAAAGCCTGCTGTCCACTCACATCATCAGAACATGAAATTCAGTATTGGATTGACACCTTTGTACCAAAACAAATTTTGCTCTTAGCAAATGTTTGATAATCTGAATAACTGTTGAGTTTAGTTAAAGAAAATAACTATTCCAATTAATTCAGCAACAAATCTAGCTAGTTCTAATATATGTGAAAGATAAATAATTTTCAACTTCATAGCTCCAGTACTTCTTTATCAAGCACCTACTACTCTTTGTGGACTATAGCATAGTACAAAGGCTTAGTCAAGGTGCGTACAAGCTGGTCCGAACACGACTTTGTTAATGAAAAGTAAAACGATACTTTGTAATGCTTAATATGCCATATTGTCACTGGGTACTACCTTGTTCTTGTTCTTGTATTGTACATAGTGACCAAAGGTCCACAGCACAGTAATAAAAGGTAAGGGCAAAACAATAGGAGTGACTCAAAAAATAGACAGGAAGAGAGAGGGAAAGAGGAATAGGTAAAAACTGCAGATAAGGACCATGTGAAAGTAGAAGCACAGGAAATGTCACCTTATCTGGAGAAGAGGACGGATGAATGGACGTTTGGACCATGGTCCAATTAAGCTGTCAGGCCTTCTCTGTATAAGGTATCCAAAATCCATGTGACCAACCAAAGCTTTCTCTTCTAAACTAGTACATTTCAGCAATCATCTGCATTCAAAAACTAAAACTCTACATCTATTATTATAAACAACAATAGTATTCCAACTTTCTTTCTTTGGACCCCCCCCCCCTCCCCCCTATTTTCTTGAGGGACCCATAAATACCATTTCCTAAATGGGGCTTGAGTTTGGCTTTCTTTTTTAGCCATGGGCAATCCTACACAGTGCATGCACAGAGAAAGCAAAAGAGGGATTGAGGTCTCACTCTCTGTGCTGGTTCCTGTCACAAAAACCCTTTTGGTTGTCACCGCACAGCAACAGCATATGATTTAGGCCGCGATCACATGATCATGTGAGTACACCATGGTCATTTCTCTCACACAGTTCTCACAGTGCATTTCTAATCAACAGAAATAGAGTAATCTGTAGGATAGTTGAATAGACCAGAATAAGGTAAAATGTATGATTGCTCAGTCAATGCCTTGATTACAGAATCTATTCTAGACACAGGATCTATTACAGGAATAACATTAAGAATAGTCATATGATGGAGGATGGGTTAAAGAATGAATTTAAATTAGAGTACACTCTAGAACAGCTCCACTACCAAAACTTCAATCGAATACCATAATAATGTGCAACTGCTGCGGCAATAGATAAAATGTATGCATATCCAAACAAGATAGCAAGGGCTCCGAATGGTGAGACAGAGAGGGTATCCATGGAAAGATTAACCATTCCAGTTAGCACGTTAGCCTGCATGATCGCACAACAATTTTTATGACTAATCATTCAAAGATCAGAGGTTGAACATAAACTCTTATAGAATGATGATGTCACCAACAATTTTTTCCTCACCAGAAGAAAAGAGCCCAGTAGATTTCGGTCGAAATATTCTATCAATGCGGCAACTTTGTATCCAGGTACATAATCAGCTAGAGTTAAAACTGCAAAAACCTGAGAAGGGAAAACGTTGAATCATATGCCTAAATAAAAAAAAAATTAAAGAAATGCAACATTATATGGATCACGCCAGCAGATTTCTGTATGAAACTAAGCAGCATTACATTCCAGAGAAATTCACAAGTAATACCAAAACTCTTCCCCAAAAAACAGGAATAATGGCTTAGTTAGTAAAGGCTTCCTCTGTCCAGAAGTCTGATTGTCCCCACTACCAAGAGTGAAATGAATCTATCCTTGACCAAACCTTTTGGAATGTGTAACCAACATTTTGAATAAGCAATACTCAGCTTGTGTAAATGTATAATAAGTTGAATCAGAAGAAAAATTATGAGCATCCTACTTCACCCAGAAATTTGGTCAAACAACCACAAAAAAAGAGAAAGAAAAGGATTAACTTCTCCAGAAGTCAAGTAGTTAGTTACCAACCAACCTTTATTCCTTAGCCCAATGACATCCATTCTCTGTGATATCACTCAAAAGACGTCCTATCACTAAGATGTCTGAATGACCCCAAACTAATTAACTTGGAGAAATTTAAAATTTAAAATTTCACTTTCAAGTTGCAGGTTGATTCATGCTATTTAGTAAATAGTAATGAAACTCCTTGAGCTAAATGCCATTGATTTCTGGGAACTCAAATCTACTTTTGTTTCTCCATCTTTATCTCTTATTATTTCTTGTGTCTCCATTGAAAGATTGGACTTATCAAGCTCTGAAATGAGTGGTAAATGATCAATCAATCAAGTATCTTTCAATTCCAAACTATTTGGGGTCAATATTTGACTAAATCTATTCCTCTCTAGTTGTATCCATTTCATTTCAATACTGGCAATTCTCTAAAAGTTCTCCAAGTCCTACACTTATTCCCACATTGACATACAAGTTTCTACAAACAACAACAAATACCCACTGTAATCCCTACTAGTGGGGTCTGGAGAGGGTAGGAGAATGACCCTACCCCTGTCTGTAGGGTAGAGAGGTTGTTTCCAATAGGCCCTTGGATCTACAGACAAGAAAAGAATTTGAAGCATGGTAGCAAGAAAATATGACAGCAAAATACTGACATGCGAGTTTCTACTGAAATAAAAGTATTCCTGCCAAGCACTAGATTTAATGTAACAGTAAAAACAACAACTAAACCTTCATTTGAACTAGCTGGCATTGTCCATGTGGTTCCTTTGCTTCCATTATCTTCTATTATTAGTTAAATCCGCCTTGGTTCCAATAAATCATAGGTTTTTTCTGATAGACTCCTTCTATTTGATTCTATATCTACAGTATCCTCTTTAAGCACCTTCAATAATCATACAAACCAATTCAACATGGTCAAACCATCTTCAGTGATATTTTTTCTCATTTTATCCTTTATGTCCAATCTGATGCAATTGTTTCAAGATTTGTCCAATTTTATTCAACTGGATATCCACATTAGTTTGTGCATTTCTAAACATTCATCTTCTGGATATATTTCATTGTTGAGACGGTACATTCACTTAAATATAACATTGTTGCTCACGCAACCATTCTTAGGCACTGGATTCTATGAAAATCTCTTTGTATCACTACCCACTGTTCTCACACTTGTAACAGCTCCTTTCGACTATCCTTTATCGTATTTATATTTGATATGGATTCTTTATTTTCGAACTACTTTACTGGCACTACTATATGCTTTCTTTAGTTCACTGAATATCATGTAGATTTCCTTCTCTCTGTAAGAATTTCTACAAATCTCAACAAAAACACTCCGCTGTTACAAGACTACCAGTCATGAACCCACTTAGCCTTACTTAATGTCCCTACTCTATCCTCATCACTCTTCGAATGTTATATTATATAAGTTTAGCTTAAAATACATATATATTTTATATAAGTTTCATACAATTATTGTTTGAACATCTTTATCTCCGTTGTTCTTGTATATTGGCCAAGGTACCCTTTTCTACTCATTATCTTGCACTCCTTAATATAACATTGAATAGCATGGTTAGCCATCACTTAACCTCACCATGGCACTTCAAATCTTGTCCAAAATCATTCTTAATACACTTGATCTAAGTTTTTCTGCCTTTGCACTCAGTCTTGAAATAACTGATGAGAGCTGACATCAGAAAACCCATGTACTTAAAGACACAAAAGTACATCCATCCGATAAGACTAACATGTATGTCTGCACGCGCAAACTCCATTTACAAGTGTAGAACTGTTCGTAAGAAGAATCATGGATAGATGGAATGAGTAGCTACCACTGTCCAGCAAACAAAAGGAGCCACAGGGAATAGACAATTCCACATTCTAACCATGACAAAGAACTTTAATCAACGTATAAGTAGATAGAATAAAAGAGTGAATTATGGTCTTTAGTGGTATTAAAGAAACAGACTTGAAGGAAGAGTGCACGAAAACAGCTCCGAATATTCTTGAACACAATGCAGAAGAGGAATTCCAGAACCATTTGGAACAGAGCAATCTCTATGAATCTTACCTGAAGGTTCATAGCCAATACTACAGTAACATAAGCCAGGTTGCACTGTTAAAAAAGATTATTAGTCACATAAACTAGACAGAAAACTAAGATATTTGCTATTAAAATTAAAAGAGGAAAACTCCCAGAGTAATACACTATACCATTCTGCGAGAAACCCTCTCAACATGCCTATCTAGCAAAATGGTCAACAACCTGCAACATGAAGAGGAAGCAACAAGCTTAGAAATATCAGCATTTAAATAGCAAGAAACAAAAATTCAGGAAGTGGACAACAAAATACTCCATAGCCGGAAATCAGACCATAATAGAAGACAGATAATCCAGACTCTAATCCTTGCCCAATCGTTTGTCCTCAACACAGCATCTCCAGGTTTTCCAAAGAAAAGATAGTTGCCTAGTTGGACACAAACAAGGTACAACCCCCAATAACCTGATATCAAAAGAAATAATTTGCTAAACCAAAATAACCAATCTTAAATAAAAATGTAAGATGATTGAGATAAGAAGTACTGAAAATATTATGATAACCACCATCGACCCAGCTAAAGTCGACAATGCTCATACAATGAAATTAAATATCACATTTGGTTTAAGATGACTCAAAAATACCTTCTGAGAAAAGATGAGTAAGAAAATAAAAATAGCTAATTAATGCTTCAGCTAACATGTTTTGTTCTGCCTTGAAAAGAGAAGTCACTGTAAGAATTTTCACATCCTATTGAAAAGGGAATCCCAAATAAGCTTTCTTTCCTTGTTCCAGAAATTTGGGGAAGAACTTCAAAACTTGCACAAAGTTCACTTATTTTTTCCATCTTGAAAAGAACTATTTTTCTTCAGTGAGTCTGGTGCGTGTGTGTGTGTGTTAATCTGGATGGTCATTTGTCCCAAAATCTACAAACTTACCTGACACCTTTGTATTCCACTATTGGCAATACTTGATACATGTGTAATATTCAACAAAAGAACAGACCCAATGGATCCCCAGTTCTTACTACAATGAAGCTATATTACATGGACCAGCTTGCAAGATGTGAATATGTGATTACTGTTATATTCAGAACATACTGAACTTGTCCTTAGCATAATATTTTATTTTGATTGATAAGCATTTGGAATCCAATGTTTGCAATTTTTTCTACACATAGGTACTTTTTCTGCAGTTCTCCCAACCCACATCAGAAACATTCACCGAAGTCCACGCATTATTCACATAATTCTTCCATTTAAACAAATTAGCAAACCCCTGTATCCCATGTTAGGAAGCAGTTTACACGTGTATACTAGACTAACCAAAGAAATATCCCACAAACAAACTAAATAAAAAACCCCACTTCTTGCTAAAATAAAGTTTCAATGATGAACTCCCCTTAATCTGATTACTACTGTATTAACAACTAATTATGACACTTATATCTAAAAGTTTATTTTGATTTACAAGCATTGTGAAACAGAACTTTAAAAAGCGTACATATATTGGAACCATTTACTTAACTCCACCTATATGAGCTAGTTTCAAGTCCAGAAAAAACTAAGGGGAAAGCTTCATATCCAAGTCAAAACGAAACGGAGAACCAGCCGATCTCTTCTTCAAAGAATTTCCAAAAAACGACCATAAAACTGAACAAGCCAGTAAGCAAATGCACGGTGTCAGAGAGAGAGAGAGAGAGAGAGAGAGAGGAACTGTTCTAATTTCACTTCACCTTACCAAAAATGCTAAAAATCCCTTCTTTGTTTTGACTGATGATGTCATGTCCTCGTTCATTTGAAAGGAGATATTCATTTAGCCCAAGCAACAGGATGACCTCATATACTGAAAGGACAAACAAAATTCTAGGCTTACCAAGCATACGAGAAGGTACCAAATTCTGAGATGGGCCAAGATTATAATAATACCTACTAGAATAAACCACCCCAGAATTCCACAATAACTCGGTGGAATATTAATTATCGATGTCAAAATTGCTACACCAGCAAGAGTGAAAAAGAAATTCCAGTGCACACCATATTCACCAACGTGAACCTATGACAAAGGAAATGACTTCTATCAATATTAAGAATGACAAAGTTTGAAGAAATGCCTAGCAAATGCAGATGAAGAAAGGATCATAGTAGCTATTGAGGAAAACTACATGAAAAACATCTGTAAACACTGGTACAGATATAGGATGCATTTAATTGTTCATACAAACAGAAACACACATAGCCGTAGGTCTGCAGCAGTGTTATCAAAAGCAAAAAGCGCAAAAAGGCTCTAAGGTCTGTGGGGCTTTAAGCGCAAAGCGCAAATAAAGCATGGGCTTTGATGAAAAAAGGCGCAAAGGGATTTAAAATACAAATATATATGTTTAGTCCAAGACTAATAATTATAAACGTGAATGACAAATATATGACCAAAGAAATTGATTCTTTTTTATGATAACATGAAATATCAATTGTTTAGTGACACTTCTTCATAAGAGGCTCATTGGCAAGGAAAAGTTTGCCTTAAAACCTTGATGACGATACTGAAGCGCACATAAAGCGAGGCAAAGCTCTCAACACGTTTTGAGCTTCACTTTAGGGCTTAAGCGCGCTTAAAGCGCACCTTTGATAACACTGGTATGCAGTACTCAGAAAGGAAGTTTAAAGCTAGACGACTATGATGCTTGTTGAGGACCCTTCTAAAATTACCATTTTGACACAACAATATGGTGAGAAAAGTTAACGATGATTGCTGCAGTCAAACACAGGAAAATAAGAACATTTTGACTTTTGAGAAATAGGAATGGAAGACATTACACAAAGATCTCCCCTTCTCTATTCTTTTTTTGGCTAAGGTGTTACACAAAGGTCTCCTTTCCTGCAACATAATTGTGCATTTTAATTTTGACACTGCTATTGTTCTGGCTTCACTAATCGGTGAAAGGGAGTACACACCTTGCCAGTAAAACATTGGGCAATCTTATCTCCAAATTACATAGTTTACTAGTTAAGAAAGTAACACGTCACTTTTAAGAACTTAATATGCAACTAAAAGCAAATTCGGGTTATAACTAATCATTGAGCATGGTATCCATACTGTACTGAATGAGGAAGGGACCATTCATAAACATATTCAGTATAAAGAGCTTCTTCAATAGTTCCGATTCGTGGAAAGCCTAGAAGTACTCTTCCTTTGGTAAATCCAAGCCAAAACCTACTTCTAACAACTTATTGGATCAAAGTAGTATTATACATTTTCCCCACCAGCGGAGGGGTTTAATTCTCGTTACACATGATGTGGCAGAAAAGATTAATTCAACAAGTTGTCTTGCTTGCATTAAGATATAAACTTGCCTGTGCATAATTTCAAAGTTGAGATAAATTTGACCATAATCGGAAATGATACAACTATACTATGCTTCAGTCCGAAATTAGTTACAGTCGGCTATATAATACCTCATTAACCGTGTTTCTACAATTAAATTCTTTTAGGCCGCACCCAAGTGGTTTGAAAGTGAGTTGAGAACCATGAGATCTAAGGTACAATTCCTGGCGAAGGCAAACGGTTAGGTGGTTTCTTCTTTATTGTCCAGCCTAGGTAGTTAGAGTTACCTAATACCTATGCTGATAGGAGGTAGTAGGTATCCCATAAATTAGTTGAAGTGTACCAACTGACTAGCTATAACAGTCATCACAAAAGGTCTTAATTCAGTCATTAAGTCCGTTTCTTTTTTAGGTATGAATCTTAATTAATTGGCTCTAAACCATTAAGATCATTTTTATATTATAACCTGTTAATGGGTTTGAATAGACTTGAATGATTAAGATATTCAACAAAGACTTAATATCATAAAGATGTATATTTAAAAATTCCTTTTTTTTTTATAACAAGGGAAACCCACAGTTGCTACCCTTGAGGGGGTGCGCATAAGGTAAAACCCCCGCTCCTATGCAATAGCATGCAAATCACATAAGAGAGGTAACCCGCACTAGACAAACTGTGCGACGTGCTCAAACCACTGGGCCACTCTTCCAAAGGGTATAAATTTAAAAATTTCTACAAAGATGGTAGTTCACCAATTCCATCCATTCACTGTTGTCGCCATCACTCGCCATTATTGATTACCACCATTGTCACCCAGCATTATCTACCACCACCACCCACAACTACCATCCTCAACCACAACCACCATTGTTGCCAATCACTACAATCAGTTGTCACCACCACTACCCACTATTTAACATCATCACCACCATTACCACAACAACCACCTATCACTACACACAATCATCATCATCACCGCTATATATCGCAAACCACCGTCATTATTTACAACTTCCATTAGCTATTCCTATTATCCACCATCAACCAATACTGTCAATCACCATCACCACTAGCTACTATCCACAACATCAATAGACAACACTATTCTAATCGGCTCCCACAACCCCCACTGCTAGCCATTACCACCAACCGCCAATAGTTCTTTTAAAATATTTTGTTGATACACATTTTATAAACTTCTATATTTATTAAGTTTAAAGGCAAATTTAATTACTTAGTTTTCATATCTTAAACAATATATCTTAATATTCATATGTGCATTGAATTCAAACATCTCATCCAAATGCATATCTTAATATTCAGATGTATCCAAATTCAGACGTCTTAGTTTCAATAAGGACAAACGCGACCTAAATATATTCCCATCTAATTGCCTATATAGAGCTTTAACAAATGCTACTTGCACATTCATGTACCATATCTTTCGCTTTCAACGACACGTCTCTCGATAAAACTTCCTTCCATGTAATTTTAGGCCTACCTCGTCCCATGTTATCATATACTACCTTAGTTTCACACCAATAGAGCAACATATCTGGAGATTGATGCAGGATATGACCAAACAATCTCAAGCGACCTTCTCTTATATTATCCTCTATATGCTACTTGCTTCCTCTAATGTGATCATTTTTAAACTTGTCTTATCTTGTAAATCGCACATCCAGCTTGGCATCTGCATTTCTATGGCATTCATCTTGTGGATGTGTTGGACATAATAAAAAATACAAACAAAAAATAAGCCAAAAAGTTCATGATTAAGACAGCCTATCATGAGACGTTCTCAAAATCATCTTCACTATTTCGGGCATGCATTATATGGGGTGGAGGTGGATACACTGCACGTTCAAGTTATCAACTCACATATCATTCTCACGGGCTGAAGTGTGCCCCCTCGTGAATGTTTCTTGGATTTAAATGTCCAAATTTTGTCCCCCCAACGCCCACACCCCAGGCCAAAGAAAAAGAATAACATTGGTAATGTAGAAGAATTAAGATTCCATTAACCTGATAATCAACACTTGAAGTGAAAAAGATTCGAGCAAACCCCAGGACTATGAGTGGACAAGTTGAAGAAATTGCATTTCTCAAATTCCTGGAAATGTAAGTGCCAATAAAGAAAGTGCAAAATTTTATTTATCAAATGAATAAAAGAACAGAATTGATTAGATAATTACAGACCAGAAATTAAATAAAAGTTCTTATAAAGCAACATGATCTGACTGTACTTTTGTAAACCTAGTACAGAGGAATATACTCCTTTATCAAATGAATCAAGAAGAGAATCAATTATTATTATAGTAGTAATGGAACAGAATTCTGACTCTCATATTGAAAAAACATCATCTGACTGTGTGTTTTGATTGAAAGCCCTAGTACAGGGGAATCAATTATAAATAGCTATATGGATTCCAGGATAAAAATTTCTTTCTACATCAACATTATGTGGACTAATAATTGGTCGAGAGATAAATGGACCAGCCCAAAGAATCAAATAAAAGGGTATCTACAGAAGTATATATAAATGATAGCCAGAATATTCTTACGCGCTGTTTGGTTTGAAGTATTAGAGAAAACAATACTACTATTAGAATTTATGCAATATATGTTATCTTTAATTCCAACATAACTACTCACAGAATTACTAAGACACCCTAATCAGTACTATTCATATATACCCTACTAAACGATCCCTAAAGAGAAACATGTCAGATAAACTATATAGCATCATCCAGTCATCTACAAGAGGTAAAATCTCATCAATGGCCATGATAAAAGTTCAAATAGAGAATCCTCACTTACGTTTTTGCAATTCCACGTGCTTGTCGTGAGACCAATGCATTTGCCACAATAAACGAACCTACTCCAATGTCCATCTGATACAACCACAAGGTAAGCATAAGGTACCTAATTCTAACTCCAGTTTAAATTTCGGCAAAGGTTCATCAGAAGTAGTAAGTTGACAGAACCAGGATGAAAAACCTAAACGAAAAGATGAATCAATGAAGTTGAGCTCAATACAATGGAACTGACTATAGTAGGACGATATAAAAGTGAAGGAAAAATAGAGAGAAGAACTTTCATAATGACAACTTGCAAATAAGCATATGCTAGCAATAAAGCTACCTAGGATTTATTTAACATGTCAATGCCTAAAAGGAGATAGAAAATGCAATTTTAAGAACTATCCATCCGTTACCTAGAAAACCATACCATCAAATCATCTCTTATACATTTGTTTCCTTTCCAGAGATAATCCTTAATATTACAATTATTTACAGTCACAATCCTTAATCACTACATCTCAAAGAGAACTTTGCGTTAAGAAATTTTTGAACTGATACAACCTAAATCCTAGCAAACAATGTTGTTAAAGGGCCATTAGAACTTCCGCTTCGCCTTATAATTGAGCAACTGCAGATTGGGATGTCCCCGATCGCTCAGCCGGCGCTTCAGTGCACACATCAAGATATAAGCACAAATATGGAAATAGAATACAGACAGTTGTTTACCAAGCCAGTACCGTACGTCTCTGTTTTAGCATATCTTCTAGGAAATATCTTGAAGTCAACAGCCAGAATACATATGCATGTCAGAAAATTCTGCAGCAATCATACCTAAAATCATAAATAGTAACTCCAGTAATAAAAGGAAACAAAATAAGATGAAAGCATATGTAAATAATGGTTATTCCGCATACCATAGCAACCCTGTATGCAGATATATTTGTCCTAAGAGATCGGACCCCTTCTTCCTGAGAAACAGAAAATCCAGATCTGCATTGAACATGAAATACCGCTACATACAATAAGCTACATGAAATACATGTAAACAGCTTCATGGAATGCCTGTAGAATTCTATCATCGGATTACCTTCTAGCTAAAATAAAGAATGTCACCAATAAGGTCATCCCAACTGCATTGGTATATGTCCAATCTGCCAGAATCTGAGATTGAATAGTTACTCATTTGATCAAGAATATCAAGTATTAAATCAAGTTCCCAAAACTTGAGATCAGCTTGCACACAGGAAACAACTACTTCATCAACAAATGACTATAAACAATAACCAATTTATAACTGAATCTTCTTTCTCTTTCCTTTTCATTCAGATGTTAATATAATAGAGATCTTTTCGTCCATTTATTTGACTTGTTAAAATGAATAACAAGTACTGTTTTATTATAGAACAGACAGAGAACACTTACAGTCAAACATAAAATGACTGGAAATACAATGCAGAAGACATCAAGAGTCGCTGCAGCAAGATATGATCCCAGGCTCTTCTTACAAACAACTGCATTAACATTATCATCTTTCTTTGACAGGGCCTCTGCAAAATTAGGATCAGATGCCTCACAAAGGGGTGAAGTGATACAGCTATTGGCCACATAAAATGATGAAACAAGAAAGGAAACGAAAATAAAGTACAACTAACGTCACAAACAAAGTGTTGGGACTTCTTTCGTCAAACAATACAACTAATCAAGCAATTATGAGTTTGGGTAACAGTGATCAAAACAAATGGGTCTTCAGGAAGTTCATTAACCACTACAGGATCAACACATTAGCAAAAGATTTTAGTTGTTGATAAATTTGATAAAAGGCCTAACGTATCTGTTGCTATAACCAAGAAAAAACTTTTTTTTCACTTAACAGTATTACGAGTTTCACACCCAACTTCAAAACTGGGAGCTTCTTTTGGACAAGAGAAAGGTCTAGCAATTGCTATGTTAGGTGCAATGAGTATTAAATTTACACGGCAAGTAGGATGATACCACTATAATAGTTCTTCGTGATCTCTTGAGAAAGGTCTCAATGATAGTATCTCCTCGATAAAGTGCATTTATTGTCACTTAGTTTCACAACCTTTTACGTGAGAAATAGACCAAAGATTATCCCAAAACTCTAGCTCCCAGCTTTATAGCTTCAAATAGATGTCCCATTCACTTCACTCCAAACAGAATTCTAGAATGTTCGTCATACTTCCTTTAAGTTTTCGTACTCTTCCCAAACCAATCACTAGTCCCACATTATGTCCTCAGCTTTACCCTCTGAAAGACCCAGAGCCCCTCAAAAGGCCTTTTCATAGACCTCAGTATAGTAGTGGCTTAGCATACTGATAACCAGTTAACATGTAGGAGTCACACTAATACACCATTCATTGCATCTTGCGTAGGAGGTTCAGTTAGTTCAGATCCTCCCCTACTTCAACATTAGCTGTTTTACTACTAACTTATCCAGAAGCATTTTGCATGACGGAAGAATTGCATTGACTTAGTTACTTTTTGTTAGTGAATTTAGTTAAGCTTTTTCAGCCCAAAAATTAAGAACCAATGCCATGTCTTTTGGAGTATAATAAAATTGAATCTTTAAATTTCTACGACTTTAACTATTATATGATGTAAAACATAAATTTACAGAGTGGGATGATGAATTCAGAATGCTTTATAGTCCTTTCTTTACTTCCTATAAGTCAAAATAATAACCTTCTCTGCTTCTTCTTTTCAAACTGACTGCAAATATTCAGACTCCAAAATAAAAAAATAAATTACCAAGTACCAAAACAAAAATTAAAAAAGTTAGGTCCTTTTTTCCAATCAGTCCCTCACCGGAGGTAGTGGAAGCTGACAGGTACTTGGTAGATTAGTCAAAGTGCAACAAAGATAGCCCGAACACCATCATTACAAAAACAAATAAGCAAACGAAATGTTTTCAAACCAACTGTATCCTTATAAACAGTTTGGTCTTTGTCACATTTAGCTAATCATAAGAAAATAATACAAATACAAATACTTAATAAAAGGGAGGAGAATACATAATCTTTTTCTTCTGTATCATTCCAATTTTGCCTGATGGCAAACTATTTAGGGCTCAAAACAAGCTTTACAGTATCTAAATTGGAAAACCCCGGAAAAAAACAATTAACTAAAACTTAATCAGAATGATGAATAAAATGTTATGACAGGAGAAAAATGATACAATGTTATGCGATTTTCACACCTTTTTTGGAACTGGAATATACTGAACGTAGAAAGAGGATCATCTGAATCACAATACAAAAACAAAATTAAAATAAAACACATAATACTAAAATTAAAATTAAAAAAATAGCAACGGTTTCTTACCGAGAGAGTGGTAATGAGAAGGAATAACTCCATCATTGAAGTTCCTGTTAAATTGCTCACAAACCTGAAACGAATGATCAATCGTTCAAAATTCAGATCATAACAAAGAGGAAAAATGCAATTTATGGATTTGTTTGTTAAAAGAAAATCGTAACTCTTCCTTGAGACGCTTGTTTGGATTGAATGTGCTCGCCGGAGAATCCATCGTCGGTGACGAAGATGGCGAAGTTCGTTAATACCTGTAGTGTGTGAGCAGTTGCACCGTCGGCGGTTCGAGCAGTTCTGAATCGGAACGGAGTGAAATTTAGGAAGTAGTTCTGCAATTAAGCAAATCCCAAAAAAGAAATCTACACTTTTTTTTTTGTTTTTAGCCTGTTTTTTAAATATATATATATATATATATATATATATATATACACTTTAGAAATTTAGTCAATTGACTTTTAAGAAGCAAAATTTATCACTAAAATATCAAAATATGTTATTTATACTATATATTATTTATGGAATAATTATTTGTTTGTTTATTCAATTTCAATAAGTGTTGCATCAAATAATATATATATATATATATATATATATATATATATATATATATATATATATATATATATAAATTTAGTATAATTGGCATAAATTTTATAGTGTTACGAGTTAATAATGTTATTTTTCAATTATTTTTCAAAAAATTTAAAAATGCCTTAAAATTTATGAATTCGGATATATCAACAGATATTCAGATACATGAGGAAATGATGTATCTGAGAGGGGAAGGATGTACCAAAGATGGGATAGAACATCCAGATACATAGAAACGAGGAATGTATCAGAGAGAGAAAAAATGCATCAAAGAGGTTAATGATGCATCCGAGAGCGAAGGAGATGGGGATATATCCGTGAGATGGTAGTGATATATCCAAAAGAGTAATTTTAAAAAAGAATAATAAAATTTTTTAGAGATCATAATAAAATAAGATATATATTGAGATAATTTTTTCTTACATAAAAGATTATATCATCAATTCTCATAAGTAAAAAGTTATTATTCATAATTTTAAACGGGAATTTGAATAAACCATCGTAATGATCATATCACGAATTTAAGAAATTGGTCTTATTTACGAAAAAATAAAATTCAAACTCGTCATGCTAAGATATTTTGTATATGTTTGAACAGAACTAAGTATATGTATATGACTCATATAGCTATGACAAGATTTATTCATTAGTCATGTGAACACTATATTTTAAAAATACTTTATACTATACATAATGTATCCAAGAAGGGAGTACTCAATTTGGAATATTTATCAATTCAAAAACCTCTCTAAAAATTTAATTTATCAGGGAAAGCATTGAAAATCACATAGTAAAGTAAGTTGACACTTGACACGCAGGTATAAACTTGAAGACACCGTATAAAGTTTGATTCATCTGATTCAATTTGTTTATTCTATTTTGATTTAAAAAAATTAAACTTTCATAATTTTAAATTATAAACAGAAAAATAAAATAAACAAATTGAGATGAATGGAGTATGTATTATGAATGAACAAGATATGTCTAATAATTCAACATAAAAAAGGAAGAAAAAAAACAAAATTATCTTAATTTATTGATATCTACTGTGTATGATTCTGAAACTTCACCAAAACCAGCATTTCCAGTAGTTGTTTTGCTTTTGTATTCACCAAAAGTAGTACAGCTTTTTGTTGAATTATGTCCCTTTATAATTTTTGCCCTAACATGTTCTGGTAATTTCAATGTAAACCTATCTTCAGCTCCTCTAGATCTATTTATAGAGTGCCCCGTTGAATGCGATCTCGATAATTTCGCTTCTCCATCTTGTAATTCCACACGTTCTAATGTTGCACTAGAGCATCCACTTTCTTCTTCTTCTTCTTTATGATCATCATCGTCGTCGTTGTTGTTATCATCTCGAATTGAAATGCTCAATGAATCTTCTAACGATTCGTTCTCATTAATGTCACGCATGACATTATTGTTATTGTTATTATTGTTATTATTACTACTACTACTAATGTTACTGTTACTATTACTATTACTATTACTGGTCACGTATGATGTATATTGTGACCTTTTCTTTAGCACCTCAGGCGATTCTAGGTTTGCGCGACATACGGGGCATGTCTTGTGTGATTCGAGCCATAGATCGATACAATCTTGATGGTAAACATGGTTACATGAGGTAACCAGGCGAAGGACGCTATTGTTATCGAATTCAACGAGACAAATAGCACATTCAAGACCACAAGATTCTTTACGATAATTTTTTACACTTGAATAGGTAAATGTTGGAAATGATTTAATAATAGAAGGATCAAGACCTAACTGTCCATTTGCTGAAACCCTAGGATCAATTGGAGTACCATTAGGGCTATTCCTTAAATGCCATGTGTATAGTAGATTTTGGATGAAACATCTACAAAAGAAAATAGATGAAAAACCAATGAAGAAAATTAATACAAGGATGATAGTGAAGATTATTGCTACTGGTGGTGAGGCATATGTTGTTGGTGATGGGGTTGAATTTTGTACATTTGAAGACATTTAATTTGAAGAATAAAAGAGATAACATTAATAAGAATGTGAATTATTTAACTTCTAAAATGGAAGAAATAAAAAAGAGGAAGATAAGTGATGAAAGAAGGTGGAAAAAGGAAGAGTAGTGACATGGATGGAGTTTTAGATTTAGTTTTGTGTTTTTTTTTATTGTTAGTGTTGTTATGGGAAATGATAAATTAAATAAAAAAAAAGAATATAGTAATTATTGTTATTAAGATAAATATGTGTTAAATTATGGTACACTAACGTGGAAAAAGTTGGTTTATTATTCTATGGTTATGAAGGAAGTTCTAGAGAGAGTTCCATGTTATGAGGAAATGTGAGATATTAAATATGTATAGTAGTGTATGGTTTTTCTACCATTAGTTTATAGTAATTATTCGTTTATTCATCTTAAAATAAGTGTTTTTAAATTAAATTTATCTTAAAATAAATATCATTTTAAAAATTTAAGATAGAATAATGACAAAAAACTACTTTTTCTTATAATATTGTCCAATTCTCAAGATACATCTTATTTATTAAGTAGTTGATATTCCATTATTTTTTAAATGGGTGCTAATTAAATAGATTTGCACTTAAAAGCAACAACTACAATTTGCAAAATTTTATCACATGGAGCTTTTAAATTATTGCTTTACTAATGTTGACATTTGCACATCAACATAATTACATGCCATTTTTTGGGCTTATTTCCTTTCTATTTTTCTTTCTTTTGGGTGAAATATTGTTGTCGAATTTAATAACCTTGGAAAATAATTTCTAAGCATGGAGAGGTTACCAATCAATTCATAATGCTTAAATGAATTAATTATGTTGACATTTTCATAAGCACTCCTCTTGATTTGCCATTAATCTGTGGCTGACATTCAATCATAAGTTTGTTCAACTTCTTGTTGCTAATCCTCTCTTGAATTATCCTTGTGTCACTCTCCATACTATCAAATCAAAAAGAAAAATTTTATGAGATCCATATCACCTCAATTATCATAGACAACAACGTTTATATTCAAGAATTGCGTTCAAAAGATCATCACCAAGATATTAATGATTTACAAATTTTTGAAAGAGATTATATATAGTGACGGTTCAAACAATAAAATGTAAAAAATCTTTAAAGCATATATACGGTGTAATTTCATAAATGAGATTTACAGAGATCGAGGTACGGAGACCTTACAGTACTTCTATCTTTATAAAATAGATATTTTCGATACATCCTCAGCACACATGCTTGATAGATAAAAAAAAATTTGAAACATGGAGCAAGATATGTTGATAGCAAGATACAAATCATAACTTTAAAAAAAAACTTAGAATTTCGTACTTCCATAAAGACAGACACATTTCTATGTTTAGTATTAATAATTTAAGTTTGCAATGTCGATTTTATTTTTTATGAAATTATTTATAGTCATACAAATATTTATAACTTATTTCAGATCACAAATTTTTTTTATTTTCTTAAGTATCGTATTAAGATAAATTATATCACATAAATTGAAACGAAGTGAATAGATTATAGTACCTTTGAGGTGAAGAAGGCATAGGGGATAACATGTTGGCAAGTTTAAGAGCATCTTCAGTTTGATTAATAATGTGATTAAAGCATAAATAGCGTCCATAAGTTGAAATTTGTTCATAAACACAAATGTGGGCCTCCACCAAGAAATCAAGATCAACGGTCACAAATACTCCATCTTCATACATCTCAGCAGCTCCTTTAAGATATGGATTTTTGATCGTTAGATCAGGACCCATTAATAATCCTGCGTTGACTGATACCATGTTGACTCCTCTGTCCATAGCCAATGCCCATGCTGTCTTCTCTGCTAGTGTTTTTGACAATGCATGCCATAGCTATCCATTTTCATCGAAAGTAAAATTCAGTATCATCGCACAAGTAAAGTCCGAAAGGATTAGCATATGCATATCGAAAAAATTATTATCGATGCTTTTGTGTATGATCTTACAAGTGAGATTTGAAAAAAATATAGTGTGCGTATTCTTATTTTTTGAAATAAATAAGTTGTTATCGATATATTTGGATATGTTACATCAAAGTAATTTATGCTAACATATTGTGTAATTAGGTTTACTACCTAATTAATTACCTTTACCCTTTCTGTTCTATTTTACGTGGTTTAATTTGTAACATGAAAGTCAAATCAATTAATTTTTTGAGACAAGTCGGATATAAATTTTTTTTTTCAAAAATAAAATCCATATTTTCAAAAAAAAATAGGAAAATATATTACGATTCAGTAATATACATAGTTAATATTTTAAAAAATGGTAATAAATAAATAATAAATAAATCATTTTACTCTTCAAATAGTAGACATGATACAAAAGTGTGACAGAGGGAGTAACATGCTTTAATTAATTTATCACTTTAACCATAATAATTAATATTATTTGAACTTTAAGCATGCATTAGATGTGCGCATTTAATAATTCGCATATTTAAACAGTAATTTATACGAAAGTCTTCTTGAACATCATGCACAAGTAGTAGTATTCACGATACACAAACTTTTAATTAATTCAATTAGGTACTAACTGACTTGAATAATTTTAAATTTCAAATATCATTATTTTAAAAATTAAAATTAACTTATTTTAAATTTTATAATAAAATATAATCAAACGTCTATTTATAATATGTACCTTGAATTTACGACAAACGTTGATATCACTCCAATGTCTTTCATCAAGAAGCATGGATGCAGAGTTTTGATCATTTTCATGATGTCCCCAAATAATTGCAGTTGCTGAGGAAGTAAACACAACTTTTTCAATAGTGTCTGTTTGTGCACATGCTTCCACTACATTATGTGCTGCCCTCACCTCCACTTCTCCAATATATTCCTGACACGGAGTAAAAAAAATTATTTCTGATATATTATCGATTTGATTCGATTGAAAAGTTTCTAACATAGGAGGTTAGAAAGGAGTTGATAAGTCAACACCCTAGTTTCATATGTTAACAATGTTATCAATCATTCAAACACAAACAAAAAGAGTGTTGCATTTGATAGTCTGTCTTATATTTAAGTTATAATTAATTTTACTTTTTAATGGACGATTGTAACTTTTTACGTGACCTAACATAGAAATTAAAACTCGAAACACAAATTAAATCTTAATCAAGAGTAATCGTACATCATAAGTGGAATGATCACGAGGAGGTTCAAAGGAATAGAAGAGAGCACAACAACCCTTCAAAGCATCAACAATACTATGATAATCAAAAGGATCCGATCGAAAAATCTTTAATTTCTTCATCTTGTCATCACCATCATCATCACATTCAAGTTCGTCCAAGAACAACGATGATTCGCCTAATATGAGAGTAGGAAAGGAAGTAAACGAGTTAATTTCTCATATTGTCACTCAAGTAATAGTCGTCCTCTGAGACAATAACTATCACTTGAATACTGACTATCTGAGAAATCAATCTGGAAAAAAACTAATGAATAGGAAAAGGGGAAATTCAAAGAGAAGTTCTAACCATAATTTTGAAGGGCTGCATGAACAGTATATCCTCTCTGAAGAAGACATTTAACAAGTTTTGAACCTAAACAACTCGAGGCATCCATTACACATATTGTACTATTCATGTTGAAATTGCTCTCAATTAGGAGTACATAAAATTCAAAAAAAAATAAAATAGAGCGTTTGATCTATTGATTGGATATTTGTTATATAAAGAGAGATCAATTGGGATGTGAAGAGTTCATTAAGTCAAAGGACTTTGTATAAAGCTACCTAGCATCTATATATACAACAAAAAGGTATTAGTTGTAGGACCCAAATAATAATGAATGAGACTCTAAATTAAGCGTGTTGAGTTGAAGTTCTCTAAACTTAAAGTCTTCGTTGTTAGAGGGAAACTTTACTCTAATGTGAGATTTTTTGACGCTAATTTAAATTTAGTTGGACTTTAATGTTTTAATGAGGGTGCTAAACACCGATAAAAAAAGACACTAATATACTTATTCTATACCATAATTAAATTTCAATTTCTTTTCTTAAAAGATATAATTAACACTAAATTTTTCTTGCATGCATGTGTAGGTGGGGTGACCAATTAGCTAGGCAGGCTTGTTGAGCTTTCCAGGGTGTATTTTGAATTATTAGGAGACGATGTGGGGATAAACATTAATTACAAACCTAATTAAATATGTATAATAATAAAAATCATACCTTAATTTCATTATTTAGTGGTTTGGGTTATCAAATAAACTTAGGCACTTGGAAAGAACGTAATATAAATCTGTCCTTTATAAATTTATTTATAATTTTTAAAAATGAAATCTTCATTTTTATACCCGTAAGATTCAATTTATATCTAACTATACTAAGGTTTCGACATCGCGTCCCATCGATAGCTGACACATTGATTAATTGGGGTACGCTTTGATATAAAAAGTTCCTATAATATTATCAAAAAGCCACTATAGTCCGTTATATAACCAACTCATAATCAAACAAAAGAGACCCATTCTTGATAAGTCAATGGAGTTAATTGAATATTTCGAATATCTCAACTACTTCACGCAAATTGTTTGTAGAATTTTCTAGCTAAGTTAACATATTTTTTCAATTTCGTATTGTTTGATTCATATAGTAGTAAAAATTTAGATCGTCAACTGATCTACTGAGAAAAAAAAGTCTTCATGATTGGTCTTCTATCTCACGTGTGCTATAGCAATTAATTGCCTAAAACAACGTATGTTAATTAATCTTGATATTTCTAATTTCTCTTTTCTTTCTTTTTCCTACTTTTGGCCAACAACTAAAATTAATATCATACTATAGTTTAATCAAGCATTTATACACCGCACATAAGATTGTGAGTCACATTAAATATAAGATTTATAATCTATGGTATCTACTATAAGATATAAAGGTGATAATTGATATGGACATAAAAAAAAAATTAAGCTAACGTGCATATAATTAACTAAAGCATATACGTACATCATAAGTGCATGATTGGTCCTTTGGAGGTTCGAAGGAGTAAAACAAGCCAGAACATCCCTTTAGAGCATCAATTATACTATGATAATCAAAAGGGTCCAAATGAAAATTCTTTAGTCTCTTCATGTCACATGCATCCAAGAACTCACCATGACCACCTAATTATAAAAAAAAAAAAAATTAATTAATGAATCATCGGTAAGAAGGGTTGCTCAGATGGTAAGCAGGTTCGAGTTATTAAAAAAAGGAAATTCCTAGGGAGGGATAAAAGTAAGAAAAAAGAACCATTATGAATATTTTGAATAGCAGCATGAACCGTGTAACCATTTGTGAGTAGTCTCTTGACTAAGCTCGAGCCGAGACGAGTCGAGGCATCCATGACACAGACAGTGTTGGAGACGGAGTCAAAATTAGAAGTCGGAGCCATTGTTGTGTTTATGCTTTAAAAAAAAAAGAGAGAGAAGAAATAAGGATAAGTTGAACAAAGATATGTATATATAGGGGAACTAACAAGTTTATAAGCCAGAGAAGCATTCAAAGATCGTTGGTGTTACCTACCCGTGGATTCAAGATTTAAGCTCTATGAAATTTATTTTTTAATATTATGGTATCAAATCTATTATTTTGCAATTTTAGTTAATTATTATACGTAACTTATCTTTTTTCGTTTCAATTTGTTTATCATACTTCCCTTTTTGATTTGTTTAAAAAAGAATGCCTCTTTTTTTGACAACTCTTTATTTATAATTTTTCACATGACATGTTAAATCATAAGACTAAAGGATATTTTGATACATTCAACATATCTGTAGTTTAAGATTACATTATTAAAAAATTCTTCTTTATTTAAACTATATATCAAGTTATAACCAGACAAAAAATTTTAGCTCGGACACAGCCCCTTAATAAAATTACTCATTCCTAGAAAATAAATAGTACTTCACTTGCTTATCCTTGATAAATCACTTGAAAAAGATGTAACCCTTTCATAAAGTTATATCGAAAATATTAAATTAAGATGAATTCGATAAAGTTGGTTTGTGGTAGTTGGCAAGTTAGCAAATAATGACCAAAATTGGAGAAAGATATCATACATAAGTATTATGGAGTTTGGTTTGGTGAGAGGGAAAACCTCAGCACCACAAGAAACACCTACCAAAGCATCGTCTTTGTATTCTCTCCCTAACTTTTTGTTGTACACATAAATCATCGTCAAATGAGTAATGTAAATATTTTTAGTTTTTAATTTATGTGTCACGTTTTTATATTTGATATATTGTGTAAGAAAATGTTATACTTTTTTTGTTGATTATAAATAATTTATTTTTAATAAAATAAATAACTTATGATCACATAAATATTTATGACTTAAATTTAGATAATATAAGTTTCAAAAACTTCAAATTATTTCTTAATTTTTTTAACTTTTTCATTCTTTTATAGTTTGTTTTCTGTCCCCTTAATGCTCTCACTAGAACTACAAGCTTGAGTTACCGGCATCGGTCCGGTACCATTCCGGTCTGATTCAATTTCGGTTGATTATTTTTATGAATTAATTCATATTGAATTGATATCTTTTAATTTGTGTCATTATTTTATTCTTATTTTTATTTAATTTTTTAAAATTACAAACTTAAGTTATTGAAATTACAAGGAATAAATATAACTTATAAATTATAAAAACACATTAATAAGTAATAACTTATAAACTTCAAAAGAATAAAATCTTAAAAACTAAGCTCAAAAACATTAATAAAAAACTTTATTAAACTTGATATGTAAAACTTTAAAAGTATCTTTAAAATAAATTTAAGTAAAATTACATTATAAATTTCAAAACTATTAATTTAAATTTTTTTTAAAAAAATATTCATATTTTCGTAATCCAAAAAATCAAAATAAGTAAAATTTTTTTATCATTTTCTGAAATAGCTAAATGTGTCGTCCCGTTTATTCCATTCCGTTTCATTTCGGTCCGTTTCGATTCCATCCTGGTATATAAGGGGACGAAACAGAACCGAGCATCCGTCCCGATAATTCCACTCTATTTCATTTCGAAACCGCAACAAATCAGTCAAAACGTCGCATTTCAATTCGTTCTGATCCGATAGTTCTGTTCCGATCGGGTCCTTTGCCCTGTCTTAATTCACTTTAAGACAACTTGAGTCCTAAATAGCAATCTTTACTTACAAATGATCATAATTTCAAAACCTATTTAGAATATAATACATTCGAGTGGTGTAAATCTTGCTTTTTTCTTGACATTATTTTGAGATATGCAAAGATTAAAAAAAAACACAATTTATAACACTCTCTAATCTTGCTCCTTTCTAGACACTATTTTGAGGAAGGAGCAGATCAATGTATAACAATTTATTGATGAGACATCTATTAGAGGCGAAGGATGATAAGAGAAATTTGTTACACTTAATTCAACCCGACCATCAAAGAATTGTTTCATTGTGTCTATTACTTTATTTCTGTTATACAAGTCGAATCACGATATAACTGAAATTTAAAACATCAAAGACATTTGTATACATATATATATATATATATATATATATAAAAATTTAAGGTTTCAAGTTAACTGATATAGTTCAATAACATATACTTTCTCTTCGAAAATACACGAAAATTAAAAGATGATTTTTTTTAATGTTAGAAATAAAATATAGGAGAGCCACATGATGGGTTCAAATACATACAAAAAAAAATAAAATCAAGGACAAGATCTAAGCAAAAAGAGAAGAGAAAGTTAAACAGTTGTATAAGGTTTTTTTCAATGAACCAAAACAATGCACTTCTTTTAGTATCATATATTAATTCAAACTATCATTTTATTTAGTTGGACAACCCAGCAACAAAATAACAGAAAATGTGAAAGAGTGAAAAAATTACTAAACAAGGGAGGTTAAAAACAGAATGTTCCAGTCGAAAAACAACGCTTATAGCTGAGCTATTAGCGCTAAAACAGAGTATACATACATTGCAACGTATAAATCAAAGTTTTAATCTCACTTCTCTCATTGAAAAAACCAAATGAAAATGTTAGGCTCTTTATGTTTTTCTTTTGTTCTACAAATTTTATATCGATTCTTTGATTTTTAGGAATTAATCTAAATAACGAAATGATAGAATCATCAACATATAACTGTAAAGTCAAGCATGATTAGGCATTTTTAACAAGAAATTGCTAGCCACACAATCACACATAATAAAATTGTAGATTATAAATGAGTGATATCTAATGAATGTCTGTGAAGCATCCGTTGATACCACGCATAATAAAATTGCTAGCCACACAACCATGTAAAATAAGATAGAAATAGAGTAAATTTTATGACGATAAACTGAAATGACCAGAATATCCTCAGCTAATAATTTTCCCTTGCCTAGTCTTCTAAAATAGTAGAGAATAGAAAGAAAATTCTGTACAAAAATTAAAATGACTTCAACAGAAAACAATGGTGCTTCTAGCCACCCCTCCACTACCGGCGCCACCGTTGTCGACGGCATAAACGCTGGCCTTCTTATTTCAACCACCGAGACCATACGTTTGTTTCTCGCCGGAGCTTCCGCGGGAGTTGAACTCTCCGATGACCTGAGAGAACTCGCGTCTTCCCTTTCTGATCATCCCACGGTACCATACAAACATCTGAGGTCGGTTTGGATTGGGTCTAACCCTTCAACGCGACCTGATCTGATGGGCTTGTTATCCGGATCCAATTTCGTCTTCTGCAGTCCAAAACCTAGAGAGAAAAGTGAGGAACTCAAAGCTCGGTTGAAGAAACTAGAAGAAGCGTCGGAGAGGAAGGCGTATGATGAATTGGTGAAGGATATTACTCCTAGGAAACCTGTGGATGAACCTTTTTCCTCTTATAAAGATCAAATGGGCTTTGGTGAGTCTCTCTCTTTTGCATATTATAATGATCTATTGGCATTATTGAAGTTGTATTTCCTAGTTACAATTTTATTGACATAGTATTGGAATGGAATCAGTCTGAATTGAACAGAATGATTCATAACACCAATTAGTATGAATTAAGGCCATAGTTGATTGATATTGATTACTTCGATTGGAATCAATTATTGAGGTGAGAATTGAAATTTTATTTAAATAGAAGTGAGTTCAAAAAGCTAATTTTTTGGAAAAATTTGAACTTTCTCATTCCAGTAATATATACAACAGCAGCAGCAACAACAACATACCAAATGTAGTCCTATAAGTGGTGTCTGGGAAGGGTAGTGTGTAAGCAACCTTACCCCTTGAGTTATATTCAGTTTCCCCCACTCCTAAGCTAAGTAATGAGCAAGAAAGACGAATGCCAAATTTACATAGTAATAGTAAGCAGTAGCGAGAACAGGAAAGGTATAATTGCATCCGTCCTTCCAATCAAGCAAGAGACCAATGATTGCCATCAAAGCAAGTGTATAGACTATAGACTTTCAGGATCAGGTGGGAACTTGACAGGTAGAGAGGTTGTTTCTTGGCCTAAGACACAATATATATATATACATATATATCTATAGCAAAGGTTCAAATTAGGACAGTTTAAAGTGGGAGTTAGAGTAGTTTTAACTGTGTGATATAAATCATAATATGATGGCAAGAGCATTAGCATGGGTTAGTCAAAAGCTTCAGTTGAAAAGGAGTGATTTCTGATACACTTCATCATCTTCAGAATCTGATGAGGTGAAGTTGGTTAAGACTCACTTATGTCTACACACACATATGTAAACATCTCCCTTTATAGGACAACAAAGAAAAGATTGTCTGGAACAACTCTCTAGGTTTCAGACCCAGGAGTTGACTTCAGTTTTTTCCTGTCAAAGGCTTGCGTGATGGCGTGGTTAAGCTCTGAAACTAGATGGAAAGCAGTCTGATTACATTTCTCTCTTGCACTGCTCTTTAGTTCAGATAGGTGCTGAGGGATGCGTTTGATCACGCATGGATCTTTCATGAAACGAGCATCACTAAACAATAACTATTTCACTTAATTATACAGTCCCATATCTTTGTGTATAATTGTTTTTGTGTTTGCAGTTATTGTTCTTTGATTGCATTTATATTTAAATTTGCACCTTTCTTCATCAAATCATCATTTTTCTTTGCGCTTTGCACTTAAATACCAACAGACTGCTCCTTTTCTTTTTCCGCCTTTGATAACATTGCTTCCTACATGAGCATTTAGAACATGTATTTCAAAGGTATAATTCCATGGGCTGTTTTGGTTGGAAAAGATGTGGATCAATCTTCCAAGAGATTTCTTGCTAGGCTACTCTTTGATTTGCTTAATAAATAACCTCATGGTATAAGTAACAAAGTAAGTTTGAATAAGTGTGTCTGTTGGGATTCATCAGAAACAGCCTCTCTATCCCACAAAAGTAGGGGTGTAAGGTCTGCATACTTCCTACCCTCCCCGGATCCCACTTGTGGGACTACATTGGGTATGTTGTTGTTGTATCTGTTGGAGAGATTGGGAATTATAGCTTGTAAATGTTCTTCTGAAGATTTTTTTTTTTGGACAAAAAATGCTCTTCTGAAGGTTTTGCAAGCCTCATATGATAGATTATAGGAAAAACGTCTTTATACATTTGACAGTGTGTTGCCGAAAAAAGATAGAGTTGGAGATAATTTTAGTATCTAGGCATGATTCATAATCAGACTTGTTGTTTCGCATGCCAGCCTTGTTTTAACCGCTAAGTTTCTCTAGACTTTTAGTTAACTTTTTGCCATTAAGCAGTTCGTTCTTGGAGGCAAAAATCATACAGAAATTAGTGATGTTTTGCTGAAAATTAGAGGATCCTATATCACTATCTGCCATGCAAACTTCAATATCTTCAAAAGTCTAGTTTTACCAGACATATGAGAGATTGATTTTTGATTAGTGAGGTCATCTTGTTCTCTTGTTCTTGTCATGTGCATTTCTAGGGAATATCATTTAGGAGATCTGATTAGGGTTCCAAGTGTTTCTTGCCTCTGCATATTTATACAACACTTTGGTAACATGAGCTGAGCCTTGTTTCGTTAGATTTTTCGTTGTATATACAGAATAACTTGTTACTTCCTTGGTGTTTGACGTGGACATGGAGGTTGATATTTTAATTTGACTTTTACATATTGTATTTGTGATTGCTAAGGAAAATATTAAAGTAATGGTTAAAAGGTTTGTTTGATAATGAACCATGCTATCTATTATTAAACTTTGAACAGATGTGAAGGTTTTTTTAATAATTAAACTGCCTCCTTTGATCATTGATGAGCAAACATTACAAGCTTGAGTTTGGCATACCAAACTGATTACATGAGCATAGAGTAGAGACAAAGCAGTTTGTTCCACTAAGTTAACAGTTAGCTAATCCTAAACTAACTGTAGCTCTAGTAGAAATGCAGAGGTCCAGGGGGGTCGTATACAATAGTTGTGCTGGTTTAAAAGTTTTGTATCCGAAGGTAGGAAAATCCCATCTGTCCATATTAACTAGACCCTCAAAATGTCTAGGAAGTTCCGAGAAGGAGTTGAAGACATGTACCCCACCAAACCATGACTGAGGGCTGCTAGTTTATCAGCAGGTTTGTTAGCCTCCCTAAAACAATGACTGATATTAAAACCATGGTAATCAACTAACTTCTGAATCTCCTGAATCTGGTTCTCAAGTGCCCAAGGAGGTCTCCATTCCTTTTTTATCCATATAGTCAACAACATGTAGTCTGTCTCTCCCCATACAATGTCGTAGCCTCTGTTCTTACACCAGTTGAGCCCAAATAGCTTTGCGGCTGTTTCTGCCATGTTGCTTGTGCCTTGACCGAGATTGATCGAATAGGCAAAAATTAGAAAGCCTTGATTATCTTGAATTATTCCGCCTCCTCCACAATTTCCTTGAAGGCAACTCCCATCACTATTGAGTCTTACTATCAGTGTAGGTGGTTTGAGCCATCTAAACATGATGTCCTTTGTTGGATTTCAGCTTCAAATATTTGGCATATGCTACCCCATGTTGCTCCAATTCTGGCCTTGCTAAACTGGAACCTTGTAACCTGCAAGATAGTAAAATGACATTAGTTTTTGTTCGATAGAGTGAAGGGTTATCATCCTCAAACTTGCTACTACATCTTGTTCTCCAGAATCCCCAACAAATAACGGCGGGTAGAGTTTTAGCAATGAAAGCAGCTATGGGGTTGCGAGTCCTTAAATTCCACCAATTTATCAAAAGCATCATCAGAGATATGTTCCTATAATTAATTCCCAGCGGACCCGCAAAATTATTTCACACTCTCTTGGCATGATCACCTTGACAAAAAAAGATGATCTACCGTCTCAATTATATTGATTCTGTTAACATCATCACAACTGTGGCATCCTCGGGGAATATTGATGCCTAATCTTGCCACTTTATCATCAGTAGATAATTTATCATTAATCGCTCTCCAAGTGAGAAAAGACATTTTAAAAGTAATGTCGCTGCTCCAAACATTATTGGAGATGTTCTGATTGTTTTTTTCCTGATGTTGCTCCAAGCCGAACAAATGCTGAATAGTCCGGTAGTAGTCTAGGTCCCAATAGTCGTATCATCTTCATTGTTGCCAAGAACAATTCCAAGGCTAATAATCTTGTTTTTTAGCTCCACATTGGGTTGAGTTTGAAGACTATTCCACTCCCAAGAACCATTCTTAAGAATAGAATTGAGCTTGATTTGAGTATGACCATTTACATTAGAGGTGATCAGATAGAGAGGTCCTAAGTTGGACCAATTATCAAACGAAAAGGATACATCATCTGTTCCTAGTTTCCACAGAATATACTCTTCAGTGTTGTTCTTGATTTCTTGAAGAGCTTTCCAACAGTGAGAACTTCCTTTGGCTAATTGAACACTGATCGGATGTTGGTCAACGAAGTATTTAGCACACATGAATTCTCTCCAAAGAGAGTTAGAAGTTCTAATATTCCACCATTGTTTAGCCTTAAATGCATTACATATGTCATTGATCCTTCTGAAGTTTACTCCTCCTTCATCATAAGGGTAACATAAGTTATCCCAAGAGATCCAGTGATGTTTCCCCCTGTATCTTGGCCAGACCAAAAAAACCTAGCTATGCATTTTTCAATCAGCTCCATGGTCCCTTTGGTTGGGTTGACAGCACTTGAGAGATGGATAGGAATAGCTAGTAGAACATGCCTGATAAGAGTGGCTCTTCCTCTGGTAAAAAGGAATTTAGTGTGCCAACCCTTGATTCTATTAATGACCTTGTTAACAATATCCGAATAGTAGCTGATGTTTTTCTTACCGGTAATAAGGGACATCCTTGGTACGTAGTAGGAAACTCTTTATACCTCATCCCTGTGATAATCTTTAGTCTGTTGATGGCAGACAGACCACTTCTAAATTCATGGAAAAACAGCTTTTGTTCTTGTTGATGAGTTGACCGGAAACCTTCTCATACTTGTTCAGAGTCTTTAAGAATCAGCTGGAGAGATCTTTTACTCCAGTTGCAGAAAAAAATGGTGTCATCTGCAAATGTGAGATGATTGATACTAGGGCCTCTATTGTTCATGTAAAAACCTTTATAACCAGGAGAGTCCTGTAAACCATCTAACATTTGAGATAGAAGCTCGACACTAAGGATAAAGAGACTAGGGGATAAAGGATCACCCTGTCTCAAGCCCCTAGTCGATTTGAAGAAACCGTGTCTTTCACCACTCACAATAACAGAGTCTTGAAGTACGTCACTGCTCCTTCAGCAATAGCATTATTACCTTGTAGCCACTGATTTTCATCATCCTTGGTTTTTCTGATATTAAGCCTTTTTCTGTTGTCTTCGATAATGCTCTGAAAGTAGGCCGTATTAGCATCACCCTTCTCAAGCCATTTGACCCTAGCTTTTTGTCTAAGGATGGAGTCTTGCAACTTGATATACCTCATGTATTCTGCTCTGCATCTTGATAACTCATTTTTATTGTCAGTCGAATTGTTATGGATGCTGATATCTTCAGGAGCCCTTCTCTGAGCTTCCAATCTTTTGGGTTCTTCATAAATGTCTCCAAAGGCATGTCTTGACCAGCTGCTGAGTTTCTTGCAGGTATTCTTAATCTTTTGATGAAGAACATACATAGGGTTCCCTCTTATTTCTTCCTCCCAAATGTTTTGGACAATATTCAGGTAGTCACTATGTTCAGTCCAAATATTGAGAAATCTAAAGTACTTGATGTGTTGGTAACCTCTATATTCATCTTCACCAGCAAAGGAACATGATCTAGAGAGGTGAGTAACACTAGTTGCCTTGTAGACATCAAACCAAGATGAATTATACACCAGTCTATCAAGTCTTTTCCAAATAGTTTTTTGGGGGTCTCTGTTATTGCACCAAGTTTATTTGATTGCATAATAACCTGCATCCTGCAATCCACAAACATTTAGACATTCTATGAATTCGAGACTCTCCTCCATCCTTATGGGGTCTTCCCCCTATTTTTTCATCCCTGGAGCAAATGACATTGAAATCTCCAATTGCACCCCAAGGATCTGAAATAGTGGAAGCAATGTTCTTGAAGTCTGCCCATAATTCCTTTCTCAATTCTTCAGTGCATTGGCATAAACGACAGATAGGAAGAAAACAGGATCAACATCGTGAGCTACTCTGAGTAGTACGTGTTGATCCTTGTCTTGGATAATGTCAACAATAACTTCATTCAACCAGAAGATCCATATTTGTTGGAGCAGTTGTAGTAAGCATTTTGAATGCCTAGTTTTCTTCTAAATTTCTCATTTTCCCACTATCCACCATGGGTTCTTGAAGAGAAATCATAGGAAGTTGAAATTGTTGTAGTAGTAGATTGAGTCTTTCTACGGATCCTTGAGATCCTATCCCTCTAACATTCCATGATAGGGTGTTAATCATTGGAAACTTTTAGGGGAAAGGGTCCCCCCCCCCCCCCCCGCGCATAAACACCGACCTTCTTTATCGGTCTTGGTAGAAATTTCAGCAACTTCGGACCCATGAGCTTTGTTATTCCCTATTCCTTCTCCTTGATTTCTAAGTTGTTTGTTTCTAGTTTATTGTTGCCTTGATTGCTTTGGGATGTTGGCATTGTTGACATGTTGTCGCCTACCTCCTTTATTTGGTTTATTGTCGTCTTTAACCTGCTCATTTGCATTAATTATCATTCTGTAAATCCGGGTGGAGGATTCCGCATTTAATTTGGACGTGCCCTTGTTTTTTACAGTGGAACAGAAAAGTGGAATAGTTTCATATTCTATTTTTTGAGCAAAGCTTTCCAATTCCCCTGCTGTGTTCCTGATTTCCACTCTGACCTCATGAATTAAAGGTTGGTGACATGTAAAATAGCATGGGTAACAATGTCGAGCAAAATAGCATGGGTAACACATAATGTTGCAAATGTATTCACCTACTATGTTAGCTCATGAGCCGATTGATGTTGTTCTTTTGGGGCTTATGCCTGACCGTCTGATGCTTTAAAATTTGGCATTTCAAGTTCTTTGCTGTAAGAACCAACATTGGAGTAGGCTTCTTTCTTAACATGGGAATGCACATAGGGGTGATTAGTTCATTGTCTATAACCTCCTGAGGTTTTGGGGCAGAATTGGATCAATAGGTGTTAAATTGTCAATAGAGAATGTTGGAGGGAGAGGGCTTATTTTAGAAAGAAAAAAAAAGAGATGTTGGGTAGAGAGGTAAACTTCCACGACTAATTTATAGAGATAGGTATGAATGGAAAATCTTGAAATTGGGGATAAAGTTTGGGTTTCAACAAGAAGAGAATACATCAAATACCAAGAATATGTGAATGAGTTTCTTTTCATTTTCTGTTCTTCAAATGAGATGCTAAGTTTGATCTACAATTTAAAGGAACTTATGCATTCTTCTCTCGTTGTCAATTCCCTTTTATATGTATAGCAAGTCTTTTCGTAGTTTGGTTGTAATCAACGCCTGTTCCCAGGCTTCAAAGTTGCAGTTTTGTCTGCCTTCCTCAACCCTAAAAAATTGAAAAATGCATGATCACATGCTTGCTGGGTAGAGTATGGTAACTTGTGAATGCTTTTCTTTTTTACTTTTGAAGTTTATGTTTGTGATAGAGAAGAGGAGAGAGATAACTCGTGTTGAATAGATTGATGAATGAGAGCCTTCTATAAAAGGCTATGAAATAAGTAGTAGTGTTTTCCTGATTTTTGGGGATATTAATTGTGAAAATTCATTAAGGATATTGTCTACATTATTTTGTGCAATTATGACTTAGAGATAAACTTTAAAGACATTCAACATATAGTTGCATTAGGTTTCTTGCCTTCCAATGTGTACTCTCAATTTAAGGTGGTGATCGGAACTGGAAAGCTGAGCAGAGTATCTGGAAAAAGTTACAGTATACTGTTAAAGAAGCAGTTATTTCAGTAATATTGTCGTTGAAATGTCAAAAAATATAATTGACTTGGTACCACCAACTAGTATGAATGACCGTGGTCCTATGAATGGAAACTAAGGACATGCATGAAACCAACTTGACTTGATTGTTAACAAACCTAAACATTTCTTTCCTTTCCTTTCAAATAGTCTCTACCGGGTCCGGATTGTAGCTGGATGGTACACCACATTTCGGTTGCTCGTATATCCCTTTGCTATACCAACTTCTCAAAAAGCCCTTGTTACATTTTCGCATTGTCCAATGAATGCCCAGGTAAACTCAAAAACAGTTTCCACGATTTTAAAACTACCGTGGCATGCAAAAACAGGTGGCTTGTATGTTCAGGCTTAATTCAACACAGATTCTGGCACCTCACTAGCTTACCTCTTTTCTGGAGGTTTTCCTGTGTTAAGTATGCTTCATTTGCAACCAACCATGCTACTTTTGGCGGTGCATTTCTTCTCCATTGCTCCTCCATGGCTTGGTATTGGGCCTTCATTCTTCAACAGTCAAAAAACTCATGGTAAGGACTAACAGTGAAAGAACCTGAACTATGCATCTTTGAAAATTCATGTCGTCATTGCTGGACAAGGTTTGAAAATGTTCCAATTATCTAATAAAATATGTTAGCCTGTTCATTACGGTTCTTCTGAAGCTCAAATTCCATTCATTTTAATTTATGTATTCGGCAATTGTTGATTTCACATTCCTCATTAACAACTGGGTACTTGTGGACTTGACCTATTTTCCTTTAGCTGAATGTTAGACACAATAGGGGCTTTGGAGAAAAGGTCCTTTTAATAAAGTTGATGAGTTCTTATTAGAACTTGTTTTCTTGCTTTTTGCCTATTGCTTCTTGTTTTTCTGTTTGTACGCATGTACAATTTTGTTGTGGAAGCGAGTGCTTTCTTTTGTTTCCTCATCTTGCTTCTTTGTAGAGTAGTGCAGCAATTCTTGGGAGAAGTTCCAATACTTACTGATATTTCATGAGTTAATTGAACAATAAAATCAAATCCATTACGTTGCATTCGTATGAAAATATATCACTGGATTTGCTAGTATCAACTGTGAAGTTGATACAGTTGCTACGTCCTGATTTGACCATGCGAGTGAGAGAGTTGGGAATGATCTAGTATCGCTAACTTGTATATCTCTGGTCCTTTGGTGCAGGCTTACATGTTGGTATAGCAATGTTCACTTGCTATCTGATGGGATATTTTACATTCAGGGCCTTATTTAATCACAATCCAGCAATGGTAAGTTCTGAATTTGATTTCCTCGTGATTCTATTTGATACAACCTCTACACGTGGAGCAACACCATCTATATAACCGACCTCTTCTCCCATGCTTTTGTCTACTGTATCTACTTCCTCTGGTTCACTACTCTGTATTGAAGTTTCCTTGCTCTTTCTTCAGAGCGCTGCTGGGGGCATTCTTGGATTGGTCATTGCCATGCTTGTCGAGACACTTCTCTTTATTATTAGAACTTCGAGTCTAGATAAAAAACCGGCTAGAAAAGCCACATCAACGCAGAAGAAGAATCAGTAGGTTTCATCACAAGAAGTTGATTCGTTCTATGTTTCCTTAGAATAGGAATAAATATTTTGGTATTGAACATCTCATTTATTTCTCCTCCTCTGAAATTTTTATGCTGTAAAAATATGTACTTTTTGATTTGTGTAGCTCACTATAGGTTCATTATAAGAGAACTATTGCTCTGCAATGCATAATTATTTCTAATTGGGAAGTTTGTCTTTGGCACTTGTAATACAAGATAATTTTATTGTCTTTCACAGAAGACCATGTGGTTTGTTTTGTACTTCCCGTTCACTTTTATCTGTTCACTATTAAAAATAGATGTTCCTTTTTACTTATTCAGTTTGGAAATCGTAAGATAAGTTGTCACTTAGTTTCTCCTCCATTTATTCCAGATTTACTGAATTTTTTATAATTGAATAGTTTCAAGTTTAAGATGGATGTTTGAAATTTTTTCTATATTTATCTTTTCATTTAGTGACGTATTTATGATTTCATAAAAAGGGCAATAGTGAAAGGAAGTAATTTACTCTTATTAGTAAATATATATTCACTTTCCAAAAATATTAAAATTATAATTTTTGGATATTATTTATTAGACGTGGACGAGTAAAATCGAACGGAGGGAGTACACCATTCACTTGCTTAAATGCAAAAAAAAACAAACAGAAGCGTAAAAATAAATCCAAACATGCACATGGAATGCTTGAATTGCTACTTAATTATGCCTTCAAATTATGTCAAAGGTAACTCAACCTTAATTAAAGTTGTTACATTTGAATTTGGTACTATAACTTTAAAATGAACCTTAGTATTGGGGTATTTTATGTTGTCTCTTTGGTCTCTGTCATGTGAAAGAAAATAATAATGGCCCTTGCTTTAATACATTATTATAGTAGTAGTAGTTTGAATAATTATAATAAGTGGATGTTAATCGTGCCAATACATTTACTATAAGAAAACAAGAAAGTCGTACTTATCATTATAATTATTAAATCTTCTAATCCAAACGAAGACAAATTTGCAATAATTTCTTCATCTATAGGGATATTTGTGTTTATGATATTATATATATTTTATATGAAGTATGACAATTGAATAGGGATTATGAAAGGGAAAAAACAAGATATGGATGAGCTTAGGATATCAAATCAAATTTTGGTGTAAACTAATTCTAAAAGTAGTTAGACGTAAGCTAATTTAACTTTTTTAAGGACAATTTCATGGCTAAAACAAGTGAGAAAAACAGTGCTAATAATCTGTTCCTCTAATCACAATTTTCATTCCTATACAAGGGATTTTCTCCTTCGTTGATTCATTAAATCATCCTCAGACAATAATAATAACGTATTTAGTTTGATTTCACAAATGATACTATAACACAATGCATTGTAACTAAACGAAAGAAGTATTGAAAACATCTATAAACTTAATGCAAATATTAGTTTCATTCCCGATTTATTGACAATCTTAAAAACACCATCTACTTGACTAACTAATCTTAGATACACCCTCGATCACTCCCGATTTTCCATAAGACATAAAAAGTGATCTCAAATTCTTTTGTGACATGTAACTCTTAGTAAAAAGCCGAGAGAAACGTTGAAAACACCCCTAAACTTGACGCGAATTTAGGGACGTATTCGACTCATGTTGTAAAATCGAGGGTGTATTTAAATTTCGTTAATATAGTAAAAGGGTAATTTTAAAGATGTCAATAGTTTATGAATAAAACTAATAATCCACACCTAGTTTGGAGGTGTTTTCAATACTTCTCTCTACCTAAATGTAAACTTTTTGTGGCTAAATATTTTAGCTAAAATTATTATTCTTCATGGTATTCGTAGCAAGATATAGCGAGGAAATAACAAAGGCACAAAAAGGAATAGCAAAGCTAAGAAATTAACCTCAAAAAATATGGTTGAACTAGGTCTTAAATTCATATTTATATTTTTAATAGAAAATAAATATCAAATATCGAATAAAAAAGGCATGAAGTTAGAGGGGTTGGGAAACAGATGGAATATTGAGGGCATGTGAAGTAACATGATGGTATTAAAGTGGTCCATAATCCAATATGTTTGTTTACTTAATAAAATCAACAAATAGTAACACAAAAGAATGGGCACATTACATTGCACCATCTCTAAAAGGGACACCCCACTTCATTTCTGCCGTTTATTTTGCTTTTTTCATCTCTGCTTTTTCCAATTTTACTTATTTTACAAAACAAAATAAAAATTGTTACCACTGTTGAGAATTAAATTGTTTCAGTTTGTAATTGATAAGAGAATTATGCGTCTAAAAGAAATTCATAATTTACGCTCTTATAAAATTTCTTCTTGTAACTTCCTTTCATTTTTGTAACGCATTCTAAATATATCTCATTAGACAATTAAGATGTAAAGATAATTGAGAGTTATCTTTTATTCTTTTTTTCTGTTCGACCTATTAGAGACTGATAAAATTTGAATTTATACATTGTAAAGCTTATTTTTGTGGGTAGCGTTTTCAACAAAAAAAAATTTTATTTCTAAAGGTCAAATTATGAACAGAAAAATTTTCAACTATTTCACCAAAACACATGTCGAATGAAGTTTTTCCTAATCCTTAAACCCATGCATGTTGTTAACCAGACCTCGTCTTCATTTTATTCATATAATAGTAGCTTTACCAACTAATAGAATCAGTAAGTGAACCCTCGTAAATAAATCTTAATGACTACTCGATCAAAATATAAAAATAATAATTACGTCTCGATCTCAAAGTATTACACTAATATCAAACACAATAAATAAAAGAATTTAAAATTGGTCCCATGGTGTTAACAAATCCTTATCTTCCATATATATATATATTTCTATTTTTCCTCCTTGCCCATCCATTTTAATTAGTTACCTTATCTATTCGTACTTCCGCATTATAATATCTTATAAAACAATTAATTCTATCAATCTCTTTTGTCATCTTCTCCTACCTTTAATGATTTTCAAATATTTTCTTCACTACATTATACTCGACCCTCATAAATATAAATATATATTTTATTTTACTTATCCATTTATTAAAAAAAAGAGGATTTCATCGCTCTTTCTTATACATCTTTAATCTTAAATAACTATATAAATAGTGACAAAAAAGTGTTACTCAGATCGCCAGCACCTTTTACTTTTAATTTAAAGATTATAAATTTAAATCGTCAAAAAAATAAAAAAGATGAAAACACTAGAGGTTAAAAAAAAGATTAACATAAAGTAATAGTTGTTAAAATAGTGTTTTAAAACATTATCGTTGACATTAATTTATTGAATTATTATAATTAATTTTTCTTTAAAGAAATAAGCTCAAACATGGTTGGTAGAGTAAGTTGTCACTTCCTTAATATGACTACAAACTTGATCTTGTCTATTCCGTTCACTTCAAAATCATATATATATATATATATATATATATATTATTGTTATTATTATTTTATTTTTTGATACAGACAAGGCAGAGACTTTGCACCCTCCAATCTTATTAAGGGCCCGTTTGGATGGGCTTTTATTTTAGAAGTGCTGAAACTTATTTTTAAAATAAGCAGTTATGCGTTTGGATAAAAGTGCTGAAATTGTTATGTCAAACGTGAAAAGGGAAAAATGGAAGAAAGAAATGTTAGGGTTATATGGGTAATTTGGAGATTGTATAAAAATATTAAGCACAAAAAGATAAAAATGTGGTCAACTTAAAACAGCTTATAAGCTAAAAAAAAAAAAGCACCCCTACCCCAGCTTTTAACTTTTGGCTTAAAATAAGTTTTTTTTAACTTAAAATAAACTGTTTTGAGTATTGTCAAACAGCTAAATAAGTCAAAAACCAGCTTTTAAGTCAGTTTAACCAGCTTTTAAGCTGAGCCAAACAAGCTCTAAGTATCAAAATACTGAGAAAATATATTTATTATACAAGCTGAAAATTAATTATTTTTTTCTAATTCCATTAGAAAAGTGTGCAGAATTATTGAATCTTGGTAATTTTAGTCATTGAGATAGTGTACAATGTATGTTATGTGCTATTTATTCTGATTTACATAGTCGAAAAGAAGTAAAAAATTTAAAATAACATAACAGCACCGTTATAAAAATACTATTTCTTTGGTTTCAATTTTAACACGTAATGTTAAAACAAATGTATATAACTTTTTAAATTTTGTGATTTTAAACTCGTAAGCAGATCGATTTTTAATAAATGTATACTTTTCTTTGGATAAATAAAAAAAAAATCAAAACACTTAATTAGTAGGTCCAAAATCTGGTCCCATAATGTCAGTAAAGTCCACATTTTCCTTTTATTTAATTTCTATTATATATTATATATTATAGTTCTATTTTAATTGTATTATCTTCTACTCCTACTCCTACTATTTTTGTTATGTTATCTCTGCATTCTATCTTGTTTGCTTATCTATTCGAACATCCACACTAAGTTATATAATTGGTCCTCTCTCTGTATTCTATCTTTGTTGTCCCTCTAAATAAAATTTTCTGAGTAATAAAACTCCAAAATTATTTGAATACGTCTTACTTGTCAATTTATGTGATATATATTACGTAATAATTTATGTGATATATATATAAAATAATTTATATTATGCTATATTAGATATCATGTAAAATTCGTATATTTTACTTATGTATACACGAATTTAGGTGTTTATGTATACACCTTAAAAGTTAAAAAGTATAATTGCAGTACAGACTTTAATAAGAAACTCATTTATATTATGCGTAATTTAACTTTAACTATACTAATTATGAATAAATAAAATTTTAGAATTAATTTTCTTAAAATTGTGCAAAGATCAGTATCATCTTAATATTCTCCAATTAAAGTTAGTTCTTTGTTATAGGGGTATGTTTTAAAATGATCTAATTTCGTTTTTTTATTGCTAATAGGACAGAACCGAAGCAACCCAATCTACATTTTGGGGTAAATATAATAAGGGCAACTTTCACATTAATAAATAAAAAAATTATATTTGTATGTTATAATAAAGTTTGTATAATTACGCTCCATAGCAAATATAGAAACTGTATATTTCGCTAAACATATACAGTTGAAGTAAATTGTATAAAACGAAGTGTATAAAATAAGAAAGGGAAAGACACTTGGGCAGAGAACAGTATAAAAATAAAGTGTATAAAACGAATTGTATTATTATAAGTGTATAGAATAATTATATACAATTTGAATTTGTATAAAGAGAGAAAGACAAAAGAGACTTGACAAGGAATATACAATTGAATC